AAACAACAAAAAAACTATCGTTATCTGCTAATATTGTATTGAATATGGCAATTTATCATATTCATTAATTAAACACATACTCTGATTTCTTTTTATACTGGTTCCCCAAGTATCCATTGTTGTTGACCACGTGATATAGTGAAATCGTCAAAGATGTCGACGCCAAAACAAAAGCGTCAAAGACCTTAAAATTTCACAATTATTTTGTTTTTTAGCAAAAAAAAAGGTCCATTTTTTCCGCATCGCTTCGCACAGCGAAAGATTTCATTCTACGCCCCCTCTTTCAAATATCCTAGAATCGCCCCTGACTTGATAGCCAAAATAACAGAATCTGTCATGGATAGTAAAGGCAACTGTCCAGAGCTGATTATTCGCGTATATATATGCTCAGCACAGGCACATTCAAAATGTCAAAAGTGTATTATCAACATATACCATACACAATTAATTATTCCGTCTTTGCGTATTGCAGAGTTATCTTCTCTTGTGAGCAGGTATTGATTGTTACGTCATTGGTTTGTGTGAGAAAATTACGTCGTTTTCTCAAAAATTGATGCCGTTACTCTCACAAACCAATGACGTAACAAGCAATACCTGCTCACAAGAGAAGATAACTGCAATACGCAAAGACGGAATACCCTTGCAGAGACGTATATTACGTCTCTGATCCTAGTTAATGGGCGGATGCCTTCCTTTTCCATGATGAACTACTTTCCAGAAGCCTGGTCTATCAACATTAGATAATCAGATAACAGATGTTATAGATAGGTGCTTAGAAATAAGCATAGCAGATAAGACCGAATGAACTATCCAATTATTCATCTAACGAACATGGAAATTATAGACTCGCTCAGTATAGCATCACTGTGGGAGACTGTAACAAAACCATGGACTTTGAGACCTATTACCTATGAATTAAGGGATAAAATGCCACATGTTCCATATATTGAATCGCTGAATTCATTAGGCAGTCGCCGACTAGATTTTTATGAAGGCGATGACAACCTACCCTACAAATGATCAATCATTCCATGATCACCTCACTAGATCTGACTAATGAAGAATAAGATAATATGAGGCCTAATGTTGGAAGCTACTCATGATGATGAGCTAATTATAGGTACCAACCACACAGAACTAAATTAAAGGAACTACCACTCGACAAGCTCGCCTATTTACAACTAATTCAACAGATAGAAATAGTACGATACTAATGGATATAAAGACGAGTTCCAGTAATCCTCTAGGGGACTATCTTAGCGACATCAGCACCCCTACCCTTAGTCCAATAAACGGGGGAAATCACGTGTGCAGTGCAAGTGCAAGCCTAAAGGAGTCTGCAGTAACAACACAAGAACAAGAGGATATAGTTAACTCTCGAAAAGTCGCCAGACGAAAACGACAATAATAAAATATCACTTACCTCGAGAAACTGGTAAAACAACTTATGTTAGCAAACACTCCAATCACACAGTCCAAAACAAACTATACACAATAGACTAACCGTTTACTACAGCTAGGCTCTATAACGACTCGCTCCGATACAGCGTCTGGACCGACAACAATACATCATTCTAGTGTCAATAACCAGCTACCATCTGCCTACGATAATCTCTCAGGAACATTAGTCCCGAACAGTGATCTGGAATTATTAAAACAACGACTCAGGGATGTCGAGTTTGAATAGATTAAGACTAGGCTTCATATACGCGAACTCCAGAGCTCAAGTTGTAACTCTAGTGGTCCGATATGAAACTATGGTACAGCGGCTGGACTTTTACCCCCATTCTGGATACAACCGCTACACATACAACCGCCAAGGAGCTATAATATTGACCCAAATAACAGCCGAAACTGTGTAAATCCAAACCCCAGCGCTTGCCAGATATAGCGCCTGGTGGTGCTACATGGCGTTGTCTTGACTCTTGTTGCAGGATAATAAGTGAACATGTTTCTATTTATTCTCTTGAAACGAGTCAGGCGCTTTATACCGTATAGGCAAACCTCTATTTGCTGTAGCATGTGGGATGTCTTCGAAGACTTCCTCGGAAAACTTCAACAAACACACTGACAATAACGCTATTGGCAACTTTGAGGCAAGTCGAACAAATGACATAGTTGGAAAAAACACACAACAGCTGGAAATATGATACGCCAGAGAGTAAGACGACACCACATCAGGGTCAAGTAATCATCCCTACTAATCATCCATAGATACTACTATCACCAAACAAAACGTCACACCAAAGGGAACCAGTCCATCAATATGTAGCAGCACCAGGAGCACCATCCTATAAACAGGATAGTGAAGTAAAAACTCCTACGACAAAATCAAAGGAAATCGCCATCATTCAACAAACATCTCGGATAGAACCCACTCCTACTGACGACATGACTGCGCATCATTCTGTGTGCCGAATCACGGTAAAAATGTCCAGGATAAAGGAGAACGATAGTCCGAGACTAATCGTTTTAACAACTCTAAATTCCAAGAACATTGACTTTTTTGCATTCCACCTGAACATGCTGAATGTTTTTGTAGGCATACGATATCAGAGGTAGTCAGTGGGTCAGAAACGTAGGCCCTGTTAGTCTGAATGACCTGTCGGACCAACATCAAACTCATAGTAAAGTTGTAGACTCGTCAGATCCAATACCACCATTGCAGGTTCCAAGAGGCTACTGAGGAACTGATTTTATATACAACACTGACTTAAAGGCTAAAACTACAAAACATCCGGACGGGAAGGAATCTTGTAGTCGTCCCAGATATGAACACTGCTACACCAATTTGCATAATATCTGTATACACGCCAAGTAAAGAAAAATCCGCATCATTAGGATATGAGGAACACGCTCGATGAAATCGAAGGAATTGGCTCCGACATCGGAATGAAAATTCATCAATGACTTATATATGATGCATCATAAAGTGTGAAGTGGTATGGAGATGTTTGAGATAGCTTCCCAGTCAAGCGAAGTCATGCAAGGCGAGTGGTGTCAACGTGTCACTATAAACGGTACAACAACCCCATTCTACGCAGTTTGGAAAAAAAGTTAACGAAGCAACAACAGGATCTTTATCATTGCCTCACACCGCATGGGCCGACAAAACAGCTATATAAGCACATATGAAACTATCTACCAGGGCATGATTGACCAGGTATAAACCTACACCAACTGATCAAGGTCTAATATCAAAGAGTTAAATTCTATCACTCAACGTGTCAGAAGATATTGAAATTCGGATCTACAATAAACCAATTAAAATACCAGGAGAAAATGAGTATCTTAGACTGTACAGAAAAAGCAAGTAAAACCCAATATATAGCAGAAAGTGGAAGTACGAAGAACAACGGCGTAATCTCTAATAGGCACACGGTTCCATTGGGAAGGTGGAGTTACACAGAAAAGTAAGGTAAGTTTATGGAACGTATATGTAACGCCGAGACTGCTATATGGCCTCGAGATAAACCAGCTTACAAAAGAAGACATTAACATCCTGGAAGTATTCCAAAGGAAAGCGCTTCGGCACATTAAACATGTTACGGACAGAACGCCAAGCTCTATAAAGTGCTCTTCTGGGAATACACCCTAACTATAACATCATCACGAGAGAGGGCAGTATTGAGCGAGAGATCACTGTAAGACAGTTGGCCATATAAGATGTACACTCATTATCTTCTCGTTAGTAAGAAGGATCCTATACATCTACAGTCTCACAAATTCCTTTGACCTCTGTGACAAAATTTCAGCAGAAAAAGAACTTGTCAACAATACAATAGTCGCCAGAATAGAAGAGGAATGGCGTTAGGATATAGTTCCTGAGCTCTCGCTTCAATATGTTGACACTGCAGTACTGAAATTAGGAAAAGTCCATTATGCGTTTAGTAAACTTTCCAACTATCAAAAAGATCAGTTGGTATGGGAAAAAAACGTACGCGTTGGCGCGGCCCAACCTAACCACTGGCTGATTTTGGCTGATATGGTCAATACATCTTGGGTAATCCTGGTATACTTTTTTTTGCACAGAAGAATCGATGCAATCATTTGAAGTCGTGTACGTTGACATCCGACTGGCAGATATGGTTAATAGATCTTTCATTCTACACTAAAAAGTGGTGTGGTTCTGAACTGGTTGGAAATGAATACTGCCATTTACTTGCTGCATCTCGTCTCTTCCGAGAGCTCTCTTTACCTTGTGGAGTGTTGTCAACCTTTTCCTAAGGTCATCTCTTTGCTGTTGTAAGCCGATTCGCTCCTAAGCGTTTGACTCTTGGTGTAGTCGCTTCAATAATTTTTATTTCTTCCGAAGCTGTGCCATATCCTGTTGGCTCCTATTTGGCTGATGGACTATCACAGTTCTTTTCCTTTGACCTGGTTTTCATTTCCACCCCACCCCGTTGCTTCCAAAATACTGTCAAGATCGTCATCCAGCTGTTTTCCCGTTCTGTCAACCATCTTTGGTTACCAGGGTAGTTCAGCCATTTCCTCCTCTCCGATCTCATTGTCCACACGAGCCATTTGACTTGCTTCCTCTCCCCTGATGAACTTGGGGTATCTTGCTGTGACAACACATCAGCAGAGACACTGTGGTGTGAATCCTGGCTCGGAACCTCCTGCATCTCATCAGGTGTGAATCCTGGCTCGGAACCTCCTCCGTCTCATCAGGTGTGAATCCTGGCTCGGAACCTCCTGCATCTCACCAAATGCTCTATTTGTGCACTGCTGTTGTATCTCCTCGGGTTGTTATCGCGCTTTTGCCTGGTGGATCCGAAACTATGCAAGTTCATGCAAACCTTCCCAAATTTGCACCTGGTTTCCAATTCCTTCCTCCTGTCAACTTATATAGGTGTTTGCTTTCCTATGTATTTCTTGTCGAAGACAAGATAAGGTAGTTTTATTTGTTCTAGGTGACGTACACGGCTGTCATCATTAGCACATTAACACATCTGTTACTTGGTTGCTCGACAGAAAACAAGAAGTTTCATAGCTACTTTAAACATTTACAATTTATTTACAATAGATTTATTTTTATTGATAGAAAAATATCACTCATTATAAGCTTGGAATGAACAATATTTCCAATGAACATATATATATTAATATACAATTATGTACAGTGTTTCAAGTGAACCTATATAAATAATATCCAATGTCAATAATAACGGTGGACATTTACCGTTTTCAAAAGTATTGTTCTCGTACTGTTATCTGTTTTATGGACAATAAAATTCCACTTTGATATCACACCATCTGCTTAAGCTACGTTCAACGTAGCTCATAGGATCAATATCCCAAATCATTGCCTTTTCTCTAGATCTGGCAATTCTATATCGCGTGTCTTTAAAAATCACCCAGAACAATGAATATTGGATTAGCTCACACGAACCATCCTGGTATGGTGGGAAAGTAAAACATGAACTTGAAGTGTTCATGAAATATAAGTTGTTGCCATCACTGCATAAAAGAAAACATGAAGTTATTTGTCATGATCTACAGTTACTGTAGTATGTAGTCCCAATGTTGAGTACATGTTCTCACAACATTGGAAGATTTAAGTAACAATGACATTTAGGCAACAAATCACCAATACTCTTTAGAATTGGTGACTGTACAACAATTTAAGAATGTCAGACTAATTGTGCAGGTTTCAAGCAAAGGTTAACAGCTTTGTGGACTTGAGGATCTGGGTCACACAGTCCACAAACTGGTAACTTGTGTTGGCAAACTTTTCTTTGGCTGCTGGAGTAGCTAGATCTTCAACCATGTGGTACAAATTGGATTTAAACTGAAAAACAAGGATAAAATCTGGCTTCAATAATGGTCATGATAGGCTACCTTATTGTAAGTAAATGTATATTACTTTTCTTTTAGTAGTTGGTCATACAAATACACAGTTCCCAGATAATCTGAGCTTGTTTCAATAGAAATACATTGAAATAAACTTTCGTTATATTTTTTTATGTAACAAACTGGTTAAAATCCTGATAGACTAGTTCAAATAGTTGGATCAATAATGATCTCGGAATAAAAAATAAAGATAAACAGGCCATGCAGTGAATGAATGTAAGACGAGGATATTGGTAATATGTCTATTGTAGGGCTTACCACAGTTCCATCTGCCCTTTCTTCATTGTAGGTCTCGTCAAAATCGCTCAAGTTGAGCTTCATTGATCTTCTCCTAGTCATTAGGAATACGCCCCAGTCTTCCTGCACGGCAGAGAACAGATTGTTCAGTGTTACAGAACAGAAAACCAAATAACAGCAAAGACAGCAACAAAACATTTTTCTTACACCACATAAAAGGTATTTGAAGCTCCGTATTTTTTGTTTCAACAATTACTCTTTATGGGTTCAGCTATTTTTTTCCCAAAAGATTGCAAAAAATATTTTTCAGTATACAACAATTTGTTTGAATTTCAGAACATTCTGGTATTTTTTAGGACAGCGTTCAGTATCTGGCAAAGCCCTTTGTCTAAAAAGGATATAAGATTTCATAGTGTACATGAAACCCTAGTCTGATGCTCTTAAGAAAGAGCCAAAGAGAATTATTTTTCTAGACGACGCAGCTGAAAGCAACTAGTATTTTACCTGGGTGATATGTAAATTTGGCATGTATCTTACCTCAAGGAGGGGTTCATCCTGTAGTGACTCAGACACCTGAAAGAAGACCTTGTCCCTATCCTGGATTTCCCCATTCCACTTCGACCAGGAGTATGCAAAGGAGGATGCTGTTAGTGCCATCTGTTCGTATGCAGCCTCTTCTATGTTCGGGTGCTGGGGGATTATAATGTAAAAGCTTTGATACAAATACTTCATCAGTCCCAAAGTATCATGAATAAACTACTTCTGAGCGAAAATGTTTATGTATGTACTGTACAGTGCCATGATGTGACGGTTTTAAAGCAGCGTTGAAAACACAATTTTTTTGTATTTTGTAACTTTGAATGTAACAAGTAGCAACTACGGAAAGAATATCTCCTGCTACAATTTCTCTTTTCTGTATAACATCCAAACTTGTATAGAAGATAACAAGTGACATTTTCACAAAGTGCCCCCAAAGATAGCAATAAGTTTAAGTGTCGTCTTTTGAACTCCAAAGAGGTTCTCACTGGAGTTCCAAAGACGACTCTTAAAATGCTCAGTGGAGTGTCAAACAGTTACTGCCTCTTAGCTGAGTGTCAAACATAGCCCTTAAACCAGCTCCCAATGGAATACCAAACATAGACCTAAACTATAACTCTAAATGAATTCAAAATACAGCCCTAAACCAGTTCTCGGTCGAATACCAAACACAGCCCTATATCAGCTCTCAGTGGAGTGTCAAACAGTTGCATAGTCTTGATTTAGTGTCAAACAGGAGCCTTAACCAGCTCTCATTGATTTTCTCACTTATATTTAAACACAGTCCATATTGTTTCTGCATTATACATGTATGAAATTTTAATAAACAATTTATAGAACCGAGTTCAATTGACAACTATATTTCACAAGCGCAACAAAACGTGCATCACACTCAATATTTGAAGTACTTTTTTCAAGTGATTCCTATGAAAAGTCTTCTTTATATTTAAAAAATAAGTTCAAAATTATGCAAACCAAGCTTATCTTTGAAATCACCATGCAAAATTAAAATCACACCGTGTACAATACCCACCTTCTGCTGAGGAAACCATTTAAACAAAAGGTATATTTATATATCAAATCTCCAAATCCATACATAAAATAATACAATCTCAGGGCAATATTTGAAATATTTTTATTTTCTATATTTTTTTTAACTTTTGCTACAATTCAAAGGTTTTTCTTCTTATTTAACAGGTATGGGATGTTTTCTGTAAATATATGGCTGATAGGCGTCAACGACATTGCTAAAATTGAACATAGACTTTTCTCATTGCTGTTATCTCTAAGCATGCTTAATATATAGATAAAATCCCTACAATTACATGTAAGGCTGTTTCAAGTTTTATATCATTAGTACAAACAAGCTACATTATGTAATTAACATTGTTGAAATGTAACTGAGAATTACCAATACAACAATTATTTCCAAGTTTACGAAAATTGAAAAAAAATTGAGTTGAAATATTCACCAAAACATGAAATAAACCAGAGTGTTAAAGTCACCTAACCCTTACCTTTTTCACATTATTTCTTTCTTATATAATCACTCTAGTGGACCCCAAATAGCCATACAATATCAGCATGCTAGCATATGCTGCCCCGACAAGCTTTGATATTACAAGTAACAGTACCCCAAACATTTCAATAAGATGATTTTGCCAGAGGAAATCTATCATTTCACAAATGTTACATGAGGAAATTCCTGGAGTTAAAAGAAATTTTTCCACTAAAGTTTTTCTTCAACTTTTATCTGATGCTTTCCTGTGGAAATAAAGGAATGTTAGTGTACCTGGTGCCTGGTGATTTTGGTTAAAGGTGCAGTACAAAAATCTTAGAAATCAAATTATTTTTCAGTTTTTACTTCACTGCTATACTGTCAGATCCCCAATGACCTTCCATATAAACCATCAGCATGGACGTACACTTAGTGAATAAATACAAACCTTCATATAACCCCCAAAATCTGTTACCTGTCTCATGCCCACTACTGCTGGGAGTATAGCACTTTTACCTGTCTCATGCCCACTACTGCTGGGAGTATAGCACTTTTACCTGTCTCATGCCCACTACTGCTGGGAGTATAGCACTTTTATCTGTCTCATGCCTGCTACTGCCGGGAGTATAGCACTTTTAACTGTCTCATGCCCACTACTGCTGGGAGTATAGCACTTTTAACTGTCTCATGCCTACTACTGCTGGGAGTATAGCACTTTTACTTGTCTCATGCCCACTACTGCTGGGAGTATAGCATCAGCTCTCTGTTCTTAAAATAGGCGAGCCCAACAGTTTACCACTCTTTTTTTTATTTTTATAAAACATTATCAATATAAGTAAACAAGTTTCAAAAGGAAAATCCTCTGCCCCCCAGTACCACCAACAACTTGAGTTCAAAGCCAAGCCTAAAAGGTGTACAAACTTGTTTGATTTTGAATTTAACTGTCAGTGGTACTAAGACCTAGTCTCAGAGAAATACATTCCCAAGGCATAGTTGTGTTACACTGTATGTAGAACAGTGTATATCTGCTTAATACACTAGTATACCAGTAAACAATATGATTCTGATAGTTATATTACAGTTCAACCAGCACTCCTCAGTAACCTACCTTGTTCTGAATGCTAACATATTTAGACGAATCTACGGCTGGGAACACATTTATTCCTGCATGTTTCAACACCTGAAATTAAATAAAAAATATTAGATAATCTCATCATAATCTTGCTAGCATATTTTGTATGAGTAACTTCAAACCTTAAATCAGTGGAGGACCTGTTGATAATGGAAGCCTCAATGTATTATCAATTGAGAGAAGAGTATTAAGTAAACTAGAATATAAAGTGGGTGAGAAATTTATAAAAGATGGGCAGGTTATTCTCAAATTTAAGAAGAATCTCCAGCAGTACAATGTCTATGAGAAATCTCAGATTTAAGGCAAACTTTGCTAAATAGATAGACAAGTGTAACATCAATCCAGGTAACATTACTATCTAACTTCTGGTGGAAACTAATCGGAGCAAAAATAATTTTCCTGATATAAACAGAAATTGTATGGATCTAATCCTCTCCCAAAGTGTCACCTCTATAGAAATCAAATGCTAATGGCGTTCCTCTGTATGCTAACGAAGCAAACAACTATGAGTAGTCTACCTTGACAAGTTCCTGTGGTGTGACCCAAACATTCCTGATTTTATCAAGCTCCGGTCGGTCTTCAGGTTTACTCAGACAGCACACCGAATCCTGAAGTCATTATAGAAATAACCCATATGTTAAACATTGCATTTCCAAACAGTCAAAATAGATTCTTTTTATTTTTATCATTTCTACTTCTTTTTATGATTTATGAACACTGTCGAAACCATAATACGCAGTATATAGTGTTCTTTTTAAATTCCTGTTATATGAAGTAATTCCAGACCTCAGGGGTTCATTGTAATGAATATATTAATTACCCTGAAAATCATGTTTTGGATGGTTGATACACCTTCGAATCATAATGATAATATATCTGCTGATTTCTGAATTCTTGAAACAGATTTCTGGACATGGTTGATTGGAGTGACACTGGTACCTTAATTTCAATTTCTATCTCTACGATGGCAGCAATGATGGTGAGGACAGCCGAGTTGGTGTTGTGAGGACGGAGTTCCCAGGACTGGAACGGCATGTTTAAGTGAGAATCCTGCATCAAAGCAAATGTCCCAAAGTAGGCTGTCTTGAAAAAGAACTCTCTCTTGTCTGTAAAGCATTAAAGCAAAAAGAGAATGATATTTGTTTATGATACATGTGTACTGATAATGAAAATGTTCACATTTTTGCAAAAGATTTGAAAGCTGTATAATGGTCAATATAAACCAGAGATTCACCAAGAATTATCCTAAAGTTTAGTTTACAAATTTTCATGCCAATAAAATATTACATAATTAATAAACACAGAATTTATACAAATAGTATAACATGGGTGCAAACCTTCATCATATTTCATGTCGGAGAAGCCATCTTGCTTCCAGTGTTTCTTAGTGTAGTCCCATCTGGCAATGAGGGGCTCCTCGGAGAACAGCACCTCCGACGGGAGTCTGCGGCACAAATCAGGACTATCATACAGCACTTTCAACAGATATCATTGACTCTCTTATAAACGATCAGATGCTGTATTGTTTGAAGTATTACACACAAAGTTAGCAACAGTTCATTATTTTTTTATTAAATCATTCATGGATATACAAAGTGTTAACAATATAGGGAATTTCCATTTTTAATTTTATGGAATTAACATAATGAGATGATGAAGTAATTAGAACAATAAACATTTGATCTTAAGTGATATTCTGATGACAACGCTGAGATCTTTTTGATTACTTAAGACTGATTTTCTCCAGTAAACTTACTTCATAGTGACACCGATTGGCGGCTTTTCATCACGCTTGGTTTCTGGTGCCTGTTCCTTCTCCTTCTTTTCCTGAGTGGGTGTGTCATTCTCTGTGGCAGGGGGTGGGGCCAGAGCAATGTCTGCAATGTAGTCCATGTACTGGATCTCTGGTGGGTCTACCACTGTAAATGTCAAACACATACATCATTACACATTACGGGAAAACAAATGGGAGACTTTTCAATCTTGTCCTGTATTATAGTCATTTTTAATTCACAGTTATTCAATGTATGTTGTAACACCCTTTTAAAGGTTTGATCAGACAGATTGCTACAAACACATCAGGATATAAATTCTACAGATTCCTTCCTTTTACCACATGCTACATTTACATACTTTAATGTTGCTCAGGATCTCTTCACCTTGTTTTACCAAAAATGACAAGTGAGGGTGAATAAGCCAGCTGTTTATTGTTGGATTCACATTCAACGTCCGATACACATTAGTGAAGTACAAGGTAAACCAATCACTGGCTAAAGGCATAGGAAACACTGTTAAAAACTGGTGTATTTTAAGAAATGGTTGCCTGTGAGATCATACTTTTGGGCTGAGGAGACAGGTTAACTTAAATATGTACTTACACAGAGTGGTTGTCCACGAGGCCATACTTTTGGGCTGAGGAGGCAGGTGCATCAGGTCAAAGTGGAACACACCTCCTACGATGTCATTGGCTCTCAGGTCGACAATGTCATCATCCTCAGCAAAATCCTCCCACTCTTGAGGCTCTGTAAGTTACAAAAACAGTTCACAGCATTATTGCAAAAAGTAAAACTGTGGGTAAATTGAATTTATCCCGACAACCAACACAGTTTTCTACATAATGATGGTAAGTGCTTTGTTTATGTAAGCTAAAAAGGTCCAGTCTATAAGGTTTTATACAACTATAGGGCTTCATTTTAACTCAGCCTCTTACCAGGTGTTACTCTTTCCACAACCTCTTCTATTTCTTCTTCTTTTTCCTCCTCCTCCTCTTTTTTCTCCTCTTCATCTTCTTTTGGTCCATCTTCCAACTCCTTTAGAGCAGCCATTAAATCCTGCAAATTTATAAAAGGCAATTATGAAAAACCTATAATTTTTACGAAATCTTAATAATTCTTCTTTTCTTGACATTAGTTATTTAGTTGCTACATGTACTTTTAAGAAAATTGGGCACAACAAAATCCTGTACTAACAATATTTACCATTGAAACATCATTTTGAATTGTTTATATAACTCATCTTTTATTTTTTATCTATAATATTATATGTGATAATCTGAGAACTATATGCATGTTTGTTCATCAATAAATAAGTCTATAAGGTTCAATTAACACAAAAATGGCTAAATGCCAAGCACCCGTTATGACTTTTAATGATAAAGATGGTGATTCTGTTACAATAAAGAGATGAAAATTGTGAAAGTCTGGCAGCTTCATCCCGACTCACAAACTAATGGAGGACTGTTTGGTGGTGTCATACACATACCTGAGATCCATAAAAAATATAACATTTCCTGTGCATCTTGTTTATTATGTTCAATAACTTAATATATTACGTAGCTGGCAGACAAACCATATAATCACACATGTACATTTAGGGATTAAACACGATGTTAAGTTTCATATTAGTTAAAAAACATAATACTTCAAATTGTCAACAAATTAAATGGTTATAATCCTGTTATTATGAATCTATAATTTCCAGTTATACAGTATGAATGACCCAATGGACAATATATAGTCACATGGGAGCTACCCCATCCATGCTATAATTACATCAATATGTGACCTATATTGCATTCTAGCTCGCTCCTTATACTTCCTGAGTGCAGAGCCACTCAAAAGAGCCCCTGTTTAGACGAAGATTGATTTTAGGATCAGAATTGCTAGGTGCCCAGTTAAGACTTCAAATGTGTCATTTAAACTCAACAAACAATAATTTTTCAACAAAAACAGGCAAACCATTAAAAAACCCATATGGTGGCATTGTTTTTATATCCACAGTCAGTAACCCTGTGGAAGTGGATATTATCAGAAAAATGTCTGCCTAGATGTCCATAAAAACAGCTGGTGCACCTTCGGTCCTACTTTTTGTCAGTATGGACAGGTTTCTCTGTACATCCACTTTTTCAATTCCTCTAAATCTTGATTTTTTTTTATAAATCTTACTTTGTGATAAATCTAACTTTGTGAGCATTCCATGAAGTCTTCTGTGCGTAATCATGTTTGCAGACGATAAAAAAAAGGTTCATGGCTGCGTGAGTTTTCATGCTGAATGTACATATTGTGAATTTTTACCCTAATACCATTCTGTTAATAAATGTTACTGATTATATACATTCCAGTTCATATATTGAAGCATTAAACCCTTTCCGCATCAAACATGTACAAGTACTTCATGCTGACGTGTTTCTTCAGAATGTTTTCAATAAAAAGCTGCAAATATGTGTTACGGAGTAAATATAACCAAACTTATAATACCTCAAGTATTACGGTATACCCAGAAAACCTTGCCACAGCACTTCATCAGGATGTGAAATTCACCAAATTACCTAGGTAATGCTTAGCTCATTGTACAGGATATTTTCACTGTGAATGACATTCAACACTGGGAGAATATAGATTCAATGGGCAAGTTTTTCACTGGGTGATAGTTTTCTGGTATACAGTAAACATGCACAAACATTGAACGACATAATTAACATATCCAGTGGATACTTACACAGTTGGTAAACAAACAGGTGTTCATGGAGGAAAAGGTGAACAGTTTGTTAGAGTGAACAGGTAACAACAAAATCACTTCAGAAATAATCAGACTTTAATGCAGGGACCAATCAGTTTCATTCCAAACTTTGTTAACTCCCCCCTAATAACAATTTTCCATAACTTTTTTCATTTTCTGGGGATAAAATTCTTAACAAAAAGACTCACTGTCGTAACAATGTCATTATCATTAAACTAGTATTGACATTTTTTATTTATACTTTTACACAAATTAATGTAAATTTAAGGCAGAAAAATCATTTAGGGCCATGATTCTTACTTTTTTATTTTTCATGTCCATGATAAGAAATATTTCTCTTCGCATATACAAAAATGTATAACAAAAAGTGTGTATTCCCCATTATGCCAGAATAGATTGATCTCGGTAACAGTGTGAAGAATGGTTAAATGAGACTGTAGTGACAGGTAGAATGGGTGATACCTGTCCAGTTTAAAACATTTAAAGTGAAAGATTCAATTAGTAAAACAACAGATTTAGAATATTGAAATTTGATATCAAATACATATTGTATGGAATGATTAGAGGAAAATTTACTGTGTCAATGCAGAAATTTACTTCGGTCTATCATGATTATACTGAAACTAATTTATTTTTATTTATATAAGGTAAATCCAACAAGAAATAATTACAATTTTAGGATTATTTTTGTGTAAATTTTCCTCTGAATCTGAATGACTTTGGGATCCCTTTATTGTTGGTGTCATCAAAAATGATCAATCTTGTGACGTTTTTGGGTCCATCAAAGTAATTCTTATCAGCAACGATCGCTGTCAGGGCATCAAATACAAGTGACTATTTTGGAGACATTGTATTGTTGTGTTGTCAAAAGTTATTTCAAATGTCCCATTAAAAGCTGTGTTACCTTTCAACTGAATTAGAAAAATGCATAATTAAGATTTGATTTTTTCTCAATAATTTGACAAAAAACAGCCACCATCTGACTGTATAAAACTAAAACGATAAAAAAAATGTTTAGAATCAGATAGATTTATTCATTAGCTGTTGACATCTTTAAGATTAAAATCAGACAATTCCATAAAAAGATAGTTTTACTGTATAATTTACTAGCGTACCGTTTCCTCGCGCTCTACTGGTTGTTCCTCCTCCCCCTCCTCTTTCTTCTCCTCCTCTACAGGTGCTGCCTCCTCAGCTTGAGGAGCTTCCTCCTCCGGCACCACCTCTGGTTCTGTGGGGTTTACAATATATCATCAAAGGAAATCCTGGTCACTATTGATCTTGACTTACAGGTCAATCATTATTGATAGTAATATTATAAATAAACAGTTATTTACACTTGTTTTACCTGAATTCATTATTTATTTCCTTTTGGTGAAATTGAAATGACTTTTAACACGAAGATAAATATTTTTTACCTCATTTACAATAAAGAACCCTAAGGATCTTAAATGATCCTTATGGGAACATAATCAACATTATGATTTTCTCTGGTCCTTGTGTGTACAAACATCGAGATATCTGGGGTAAGAAAGAAGCAATATTAGGTGAAAGAAACATATATCTTATCTAGGTTCTGTTGTGTTGTCCTTATTGTGACTTTATAAAATAAAGTCAAGTTCGTGACATCATGATTTACAATTAAATCAAATGTCAATCAAGGAAGCTGGCTGGTAGGTTGACCATTTTCTCATAATAAACTGATGATTTTGTTTGTTTGTTAAGTCTGGATAGGAGAGAAAGTACTCCAAAACAGTCACTAAACTATGCTGAGTTAAAGAATAAAAACACCCTTCATCAAGGTTCTTGGACTTAAGACTTACCTGGCTGTTTCTTTGGTCTGGGGTTGAAGCTTTTACAGGTGGGAGAGTAGTGGTCATACTTAGGGTCCAGGACACGGATAGCACAGTCAGACAGGGTCAATAACCGAGGAATTTCAAACGTCAAACCTTGTTTTGTGAACTCAAAGGACTTAATTCTGACAAAAAATGAAGGTATGTAAGAAACTTTTGTATTTTAAAATTTTACAAGAATTTGTAAGAAATTATTAACGTGTGTTCTTATTTAGATAAAAATATATGAAGTTTCTGATTAGATTTATCAAAGACATGGAATTAAGCAATAGCAAGTTAGTACACCCTATTCTGTATATAAGAAGTCTTGTTCATTAGATTTTCTGAATTAAAAAGTTTATTTCTTGGATTTTGTACATAAGAAGAATTGTTATAGTATTTTGCATACACATTAAAAGTCAATTTGATTTTCTACATTAGAAAGTCTAGTTCATTCATGGATTTTAAATGTTTCAAGGAAGTAAAATCTCTGTTTCAACAGCTCATTTCCTTCACCTCAGTCAGTAAGAAATAAGAAGGATATACTGACTGTAACACATTATGTAATGATGACCTAGTTGTAAATACCTGGGATTTTTACTCAGGTTACCCCACACACTGAGACAGGTATCTTCATTTTTAATGGAGTATTGTAGGTTTAATGTTTCAGGGTCAGCTCGCACAGATGCTTCTTGTAATAGTTTCATCGTCGCAAAATCCAGTTTAGTCTTCATCAATGTCTGCAGGTCTTCCTTGGTCTGAGAAACAGAAAATGGGTGAAACTACACATCAGTCCTGTACAATTGTTGAAATAACAGAGAAATCACAATAAATAACACTGGTTAAGATACATGGTTATATCTTACACAGTATAAATCCAAATGTTCTCGTGAAAATTCAGCCATGTTATCTACACCGCTAATCTGTGTCAGTCAATTATTAAACATATTTCGTTAGATGTGTTTTATCCATTCGACTTATTTTCATCTTGTTTAGATGCGAGTTCAAATGGAGTTAAATCAAACTAGAAAATACTTAGGGATACCAGTCTGATCCTTAAAAAGTATCCATGAAATAAGTTATCAGTCCAGGAAAGAGATCAAAATAATCGTGTTTAAAGATACTTGAATGGATTTTTTTTTATAGGACTGCTGTCCGAGGACAGAAGTTCTCCTGTTTGTTGACTATAGCGTGTACGTACGTCTTTGTACCGCGCCACCTCCTGGTTTGTTAGTTCTCCTGGCGGTGTGTCCTCCATCAAAAAGTCAAGCTCATTACTTAACTGTTGAAAAAAAAAAAACATTTTATTATATAATATTTTTTTTATATACATATTAATAGTGCATATTGAAAATATATGAAAGAAATTGTTAATAGATCATATGAAATCAGATTTTGAGCAGAACTTATGAAGATTAATTTTGTACAAAATTGATAAAACAATATTTGCAAATTTACAGGTATTGATATAGTCCATTACTGTCTGAGGGAACTTAAAAACATATATGATTTTTAAGACATTCATGAGATATTCCTATATTTTCAATTTTTTAGTTCTGAAAATCTGGCCCAGTTCTACAAACAATTCCTCCCAGGCCAGCTGGGTTCTCTTGGGAACTGGGTATGGAACCTGCACCTCCACGAAATGACTCAAAAACAGGTTTTTCCATACTGTTTCACATTTATTTTCATTCTCTGAAATGGCATCTGAGTACGCCTGTGATGATGTAAAGTAATGGATTCAGTGTTTTTCCTTACGCTACAGACATTTAGTAACTGGCTTAATTATAATTCAACACAGAACTGCCTCTGGCAATCACAGGCAGCTGTGATAAGGTCTCCACAATGTCTATATTCAAAGATCAATATTATGCTTTGTATCAATTTTTTTAATGTATTTCCACACATAACAATGGTCATTAATTTGTCAAGAATAGGGTAAGACTCCCAGAACTAGAAGAAAGTACAATATAATGAGTGGCTGTGAACTTTGCCTGGCTAATAAATTAATCTTAGATACAAGTTAGGAGATAAAATTTCTAGGGTCCGCAAGAAATTCTAGGGTAGGTTGTGACACTTGAAACGCATATTTTGTAGGTAAAGAATGAGATAAGGCTGAGGTAGACCAGTGTGTAGAGTCTGTAATAGCCAGACTTAGTGATACTTACAGAATGTCTAGCTTACTGGCCTGTTACAGTGTAGTGTCTGTAATAGTCAAGACTTAGTGGTACTTACAGAAATGTCTAGCTTACCGGCCTGTTACAGTGTAGTGTCTGGAACACCCAGACTTAGTGGTACTTACAGAAATGTCTAGCTTACCGGCCTGTTACAGTGTAGTGTCTGGAACACCCAGACTTAGTGGTACTTACAGAAATGTATAGCTTACCGGCCTGTAACAGTGTAGTGTCTGTAACCCCCAGACTTAGTGGTACTTACAGAAATGTCAAGCTTCCCGGCCTGTAACAGTGTAGTGTCTGTAACACCCAAACTTAGTGGTACTTACAGAAATGTCTAGCTTACCGGCCTGTTACAGGGTAGTGTCTGTAACACCCAGACTTAGGGGTACTTACAGAAATGTCTAGCTTATTGACCTGTAACAGTGTAGTGTCTGTATCAGTCAGACTTAGTGGTACTTACAGAAATGTCTAGCTTACTGGCCTGTAACACAGACTCTACGTCATCATGTTCTCGATCCTCCATACGCAGGTTGATATATGTGTTGATTTCCCCAGCGATTAACGGATCTGGAGAACCATCACACCTCATATATCTGGCCCACTGCAAAATAACCAGGACTTAGAATTAATGATACCTTCCTAACTAGGTTACCATCCTGGAAACAGTAATAAGCTTATCAATGATTAATGGAGGTCATTCAGGATGTCCAGGACAATCATATGACCAGATAGCTTAATTTTAGTTGCAGTTTGAATTTTCAACAGCCTATTTTGTCCTTAAAAAAAGGACTATTCTTTTTTAATTCCAACTGATACTAATGTATCAAATTGATAAATTCTGCATCATTAGCAATCTTTGTGATGACAAGAAAATGCTGATTACTTTCATTTGAATCTTGACTACATTGGATCACTGGTTGAATGGGTTAATTATTTAATTACAGCTGAGTCGGACCTGTGTAGAACTAGATCACACCAGAATTTTACCTACAAGTTTATACCTTACCTTTGCTTTCTTTCTCCTGTTATTGTGTAGTTCGTCCAAAGCACCTTTGTTTCTCTCCAAAATCTGTGTCAATTCTTTCATTTCAATACCTCTGTTTTTCTTCTCCTGAAAATTTGTATGATGAATTAGAATTTTGGTCCAAATGATCCATGTAAGTTGGATTATAAATACAAACTGTGTTTTAAAATCACTTCACACTGAATGTGTGATATCTAACTGCCTGACACAAACTGCTGATTAGCAACACTGTGGTCAAGAAATACTGTTTTTCTGTTGTCAATAATGGGAAAATTTGATTATTTTTATGTTAAAATAGCGTTTCGTTGACGTTATTAAATTGAAAATCAGCATTACTGCTAACCCTGGGATTACAACACAAGTAATTAATAAATGTTTGTATCAGTCATTTGTGATGAAAATATTACAAACTATGTTTGTGTTTGGTAAACTTTGTAATATTTTACCTCATTCTCTAGCTTTTTCTTTTCAGCAGCAACTTGTTTTTCTTTTGCCTTTCGTTCCTTCTCTTCAATTGCAGCTTTCTCACGTGCCTCCTCTACAGAAAAATACAAAAAGGATTTATCATTAAAAAGCTCCACAAAGTCACTCAATATAGCTACATAGAATACCTCAATATCACTACATAAAGTACCTCAATATAGCTACAAAAAGTACCTCAATATATCTACATAAAGTACCTCAATATAGCTACATAGAATACCTAAATATAGCTACATGAAGTATCTCAATATAGCTCCATAAAGTACCTCAATATAGCTACATAAAGTACCTAAATATAGTTACATTAAGTATCTCAATATAGCTACACGAAGTATCTCAATATAGCTACACAAAGTATCTCAATATAGCTACATAGAATACCTAAATATAGCTACATGAAGTATCTCAATATAGCTCCATAAAGTACCTCAATATAACTACATAAAGTACCTAAATATAGTTACATTAAGTATCTCAATATAGCTACATGAAGTATCTCAATATAGCTACACAAAGTATCTCAATATAGCTTAAAAATGTACAGATTGTTTCTTACAAAGTAAACAAGTATGCCATATATAATAAATAAATTACCCAGTAATGATTCTCCTTCATATCTTATCTTTAAATATATGTCATTTGTATCTGATGTTTATATGATTACCTTTATATTTGATTATGTATATTTATTTTGGCCTCATACGTTTGTGTGTATATGGCACTCACAGTTTGGTAATTAAATTCAAAGTTTTTACCATCTTCAAGTGCTTTTCTCTCATCCTCTTCCTGTTGAAGCTTCTCTTTTTCTGCTTTGGACAGTTTAGGTGCTGCCTTCTTGGGAGGCTGCAGAAAAAGACATCTTCACTCAACTTGTAACATAATTTTCTCTTGCAAAATGTGAAATTGCTTTCATGTTAAATCTCATTTAATCGGGGGTCAACATACAGACAACTTGACAAAGACCTTATAAACACTGAGTTGCTATCGCCAATAAATCTGTCAAATAAGATATAGTTGGTTGATTGTGTTGAATGTTTAATGGAAAAATCACTCTTTGTCATGCCGGGCAGGTTGTTCCACAACAATTCTCATGGCTTTAATGCAATTTGTGATCGTTGATATTTCTGCGGTAAACTGTGTTATCTAAGGCTACAAGCACAACTATTCCACTAGTTTGGCAATCATATCAGTGAATCTAGATCAAATATGAAGCACGTTACAGTTTGTGAATGTGCTATGATGCTTGTCAAATGGTCATTTCATGTGAACTTAACAATGCACCAAACTAAAGTACAGCACACTTTCGTTGTAGGCCGATTGAAAATAAGCTAACTTCGATAATAACAAGAGTACGGCGTTAAGAGTATGCTTAACGGGTACCTGACTATCGGTAAGATAAATGTTAAGGAACAGTTTCAAGTTATAAATTAGCAAAAGTGACCATTTACCATGATTTCTCTTTAAGTCGGTGCGTTGTAGGCCGATTGAAAATAAGCTAACTTCAATAATAACAAGAGTACGGCGTTTAGAGTATGCTTAACGGGTACCTGACTATCGGTAAGATAAATGTTAAGGAACAGTTTCAAGTTATAAATTAGCAAAAGTGACCATTTACCATGATTTCTCTTTAAGTCGGTGCGTTGGGCCTTCTGTTGTTTTCTGTAGCAACCAACAATGGCGGCTAACGTAAAGTGGTTCCAAACACAATTACGACATACTATAAATAACAATTTAGATATCAAATACACGAACTCGAAATAAGTTTCAATTATTAAAAATAATACGATAGTTTACAAAGTGTAACAAATATTTTTAATTTTCTTATTAAACACAAAATATTATGACTTAATGCGCACCTACCATTGTGACGTCGAAGCGGTTAGATCAGTTTCGATATAATTTACAGTACAACCATTTATGAATAGATAGTCTCCCTTCTTATATAGTTTATGGTTAGATTATTCGTAATAAGTATTGAGTGTATGAAAAACACCAATACTTAAAAATCAAGAGATAGGAAACAAAATGGAACATTGTTTTAAAACTGTAAGTAAAGCATGTGCAAAACGTTATAACAACCTTATATACTCCACCTCTGGCATAAATCGCGTTTTATATTTTACATGCCCTTAATACGAACCCTAGCTGTTGCAATATAATCCGATCAAATTTATATTATGACCAAGGGATTAGTCCAGAGGCGCATGATCAGACCCTGGAGCTAATTCTGATAGCATGACTAAGTGTTTCTCTTTTTATACCCAGCTATTTAATATATGATTAAATGGTGCAAATTTCAACCATTTCTATGTTGTGATCTAGATCCCCTGAGAGCCAATTCGGATAGTATGATTGTGTTTTTATCCTCATCTTAGCAATTAGATGTATGGTTATGGGGTGAGGATCTCAAAAGTTATGGCCCAGAGACCTAGTCTTCAGGGGTGAGGTTGGACCCCAGAGCCAATCCTGATAGCATTGGTGTAATTTCAGCTCTTCATACTTAGCAATGGTAGCATATATGTATGTTTTTTGTATACCTGACAATTGCATATATGGTTGTAGGATGGGAATATCAACTGTTTTACTGTTGAAAACCAGGGACAAAGTCTCAAACCCAAGTCCTTCTGTTAACATGTTTTTTCATCTGTACATGTCAAACAAATCCTCCATTTGTACAATTTGGAATCTCTGCCACCTGTAGATATTAACAATTAAACAAGGTTGAGGCCAAATCTATAAAGAGGCATCAATCCAAAATTACAGTCAGGNGTAGATAATTAAAAATAATAAAAGGGGGTTAAAATAATAAAAGAGATAACGAATAGATGATATGGAATATGCGATATATATATAACGTCAAAAAGGATAAGGTGGGTTAAAAGACATCAGAGTCTATAAAATAGACCGATGTCTTTCAAATAGTTAAATAATGCCTTCGAATCCACGGAACTGAAAAGTGTTTTCATATCCGGGACTCGGAAGTAGTTATCACGAATGTGTTTAAAATCGGAACATTCTATTAAAAAATGCTCCACTGTAAATGGAGTGTCACATGCGTGGCATGAAGGTATATCTTCTCGTTTTAAAAGGTACGAATGAGTAGGATATGTGTGCCCAGTGCGGAGCCGAGCGAGGACAACTTCCTCTCTACGATCTTTCCGACTGGGAATAGATGTTTTAAGTTTCGGTTGTATCTTAAAAAGTTTGTTGTTGGTCTCCAGAGACCAGCGTTTCTGCCATTCATTTTGAATGGCTGTACGAATAGTAGGTTTAAAATCTGTGTATGGTAGTTTGATATTTGTTTGTTCGAGATTCAATGCTTTTTTTGCTTCCCTGTCAGCAAATTCGTTGTCTTTTATTCCGTCAGGTAATAGTGGTTTTCAAATTTGCCGAGAGATTTCATGAAAACTAACCTTGTCATAAAGTTAAAGAACTTCAAAGTCAACCTGTTGATATTTACTCAAGACATTGCGGTTACACTCTACAAACTATATGAAGGGCAATAACTTCAAATATTTTAGTCAGATATTGGTTATCTTACTTGTTCAAACTTTCGATGGTAATTGACATTCTTATAAAGTTTAAGTAAATCTGTCAATAATTACTCATGGTATTGAGCAGTCACTGTGCCCCCACCTGACCACTATCTCATGTGACAACGTTATATGTCCCCTCTTTAACAGGAACTAAAATTGCTTGGAAATTATAATATAAGTTCTTTCCATGATCATATTTCTTGCAGATAAGTCCATTTAAAAATACAAGCAATAAAAAACAAAAAAACATTTTATAGCTTATCCATTTTATTAATGTTTCCAGACATTTCCTTGGCAGAATCTACAGAAAGAAACAAGCAAGTGACACCTGATGAATAATACTGCTTACACAATGACACTTGTTGTTAAACACCACACAGAGAGTAACAGTCTGATCAGCATGTGACATCCCTATTGTTTCACTGGTACAACCACAACACACTACGTTTAATACTACCAATAGTAGCCAGTAATAACCACAGTAGGTAAACTTTCCATTTATTCCTACAATATTACATGTAACTGTTCCACACTTTTTCTACAACACAAGGTCTAGTAATTTTGATAACACGAGTGAACTAATGAAAATGAAATAAAATCAGGTCCATTTTTATAAGAGACTGTTTGATTGATTGATTTAAAACAGTCAAAAGTTTATCTGTATCAGTGTTAGAGATTTCTGGAATAGGTAGAATGTTTTACAACATACCAATATCTCGACAGACAAACGTGTACAGCGTAAATTTTATTATGTCGTGAATGAATTGAGATACCAAGCTGGATACACACAACTAAAGTTCATCATAGGCTGTAGGAATGACGTTCCTCTGTACAACTAGGTTATACTGACATACTATGTAGTTGTCAATTGCTGAATTTCTTATCACCGTTAATTAATTACCATATGCCTATTACTTACTGGAGGTTGCTAATATTGCCATTTCCTTTCTGCAAATTGTTATTTGCTAATTGACTTGATTGCTTATTGGCTTGCAAATTGTTTATTGTCATATTTGCTTATTGCCGACTGCCTTATAGCTTATGTAATACCAGTTATAACTGATTACAGGTAATCGTAGATCGTATATTTTAATCTTTGCATTTAAAATTTGAACTGAAATTTTACTCAGCTGATTCTTCAGTTCCAGGTCTTGACCTGTTCAGTAGTATAATGCATGAAGCAAGTCTGTTGTTTAATTGTTCCATCATACTCTGCAAGCAGTAAATACACATGGAATGAAAAGCAACTGGTAAATGGCAATAATAGAATAACAATTACCAATTTGAAAAAAGCTGCTGGCATATGGTAATTTACAAATGTATGGCAGTTAGTCAATGACAGTAACTAACTGGGATACTGCAGTCAACAAATACAATACGGCAATAAACAATCGGCAAATGGCAATTATCTCTATCACGTCAGCGCAGGAATTCCATAGTACAACACCAACAAGACAATGAATGATTTCGTAATAATATGACCCTGTTATATAAGCTTACTAGCCGATGAAATGAGTTAATAAATAGAGGTGAATATATTAATGATCACAGCCAAAATCTCAGCAGAGCTGTTCAAAACACATTCGTATCTAATGAAGCAATATTATTGTTTCCATGGACTGTCACATTAACATTGTGACTTTTTCAACCATCATCAATTCGAAATCTTTGAAAAACATCAATATTAACATCTCCTATATAATAGACCTTAATATTTTTGAATAGCTCTGTCCTCATTAACATTTATCAGGTTAGTTATGGATCAATTATTAGACAACGAGGATTTCCTTCTTTAACAGAAATAAACAAATACAGAATACATTTAACAACCTAGCTTACATCTGTAATTGGATTGGTGTATTTGTGTATGTATATATTTAATGACGCTTTGATAAAATAGCAATACGAACAGGTAATATTAAATTTCATTAAAATTCTTTACTTAGAAAGACAGTGATTTTCTCTTTCAATGGTAATATTTTATGAAATAGAGGATCACAAAGACCATTGATGGCAAGTACCTTTTTTATAACTCCAAAATAAGGAAATTACTAAACCATCAACACAACTTTTTGAGTCCAGATTCTGAAATGTAAAGATTTAGCTACACAACTATGAGATTGCCATACGTCAAGTATCACAGAAACCAGTACCTGTTATCAGGTCTAGAACATAAGATGTATAGCTAAGATTTTAGAACTCTGCAACAATGAGATTACACCAGATATTATATATCTACATAGTTGAAACACCAAATAGAAAATGTAGAAAAATAAATATTATGACAAAATGATCACAAATTGTATGCATGAACAGAAACTTTATGTTTTATCATATTTCATAGAATCATTCAACTGAGGTTACATTTGGTCCCGAGAAATAAGTCTATACATGTAGGTCACAATGGTAAATATCACAATGCCTAATTTAGAAAACTTTACATCGGTAACATGTCCGGCAGTTATTCTGGACAGGAATGCTGGTAGTAAAATTCATCTACTTTGGTTTTGTCCGGGTAAATCATTCTGGCGTTTAATCAGCTGATGATGAGACAGACTCCTGAAGCGGCACTACAGAATCATGTAATGTTGAAATAAATCATTCAAATACCTCACAACACTGCTGGTCTGACCATGTGAACCACCTCTTTATTTGTGATTATCTTGCTACCAAACCAAATAGCATACACAACATACTTTTACAATTTTCTTGTCAGTTTCATCTGATTTGAAAATCCAAACAAAAGAACAGTTAAGCACCTGTTTCAAAAGGCAATTTTATCTCAACAAGAAAGGGTCAAAAACCTGTATCAAAAGGACACCTGTATATAACGACCACTTTCAGACACCAGCTTCATTATTTGGTTTAAGGATTCTCCTATTTTTGACTGGAATATTAAGTTTGTTAGTGATTACTAGTGTAACAAGACAGGAATATAAAACAGTGCTCTTACGCCTAGTATGTTAAGGGTTAGTTCTGTCACCATACAACTCCTATTGTGTGGTTAGACATAGGTGCTTACTGGAATGTGTGCATTATATACTTAAATATATATATCTCAGGTGCAACAAACAAACAGGAATAAATAACATAATATGTAACAAAACATGATAAAACTTCTAATAATTAGCCTTGGGTACCACACAGGGGCCTGAAACATAGATATAAAGGTTGTAGAAATAACACTTCTCTCTATGATCACTATGTGTAAGGCTCCTATGGAGTACAATATGTGGCAGGAAAGTACAGAATCTCTATAATTTAAAGAAAATATGAAGTAATTTTCTATCAAGTAGGAGGCCATTTTTCTAGATTATGAGAGATTCTACAATAGAGGTAAAACATCATAAACAGTTTGTGACGGAATAGCAGATCAAAATATATAGACAATAACTCCACATCACTTCTACAGGGGACTGTGACCGCCCAGTGGTATACAGTCTAGAATAACACAACACGTATATATACTCAGGTATACTTCTGATAAATCAAATTATCAACTTGATGAGGCAGTGAACAACATGATACATTACTTCTGTATTACAACATACACATGTGATCACAATAAAGGGATGTTGTGTTGCCTATAACAGCATTATATTTCATTACCGCTGTACAGTACTTTAAATGCAAACATTTTAACAGTCCTTCTGGGAATGGTTTTGAGGAAACTTCTACCCGACAGAGATATGTCTGACACGTGGACGGAAAGTCATGTCATGATACAGTGCCACAACATTTAACTTATACAAACAAACAAATAAATCTATCCAGAAGGGACGGCATAGTGTGATGTTACCATATATAGCTGTATAGCTAAAACAGTCAGATATATCATACGAAAATAACACATGTAATGTGCTGCAGATTGTAATGAAGTACAGTAAAAAAAATGTCGTACATTGTAGTTATTTTTTGTTATATTATAATATACTATTATATAATGTTATATCACACTGTAATATAAATGTACATAATGTTACATATCATTTTACATTATGTACGATAAACAAAGTCATCAACTGTGTAATATACAAAGTTAAAAACAGATCTACAATTTATCGTAGCGTTAAAAAACCACAAACCTAGTTTATAACACACCACAAAATAATGTTTAACATGAACACATATCTCTTGACTGCATCTCCTACTATATGATCAAAATGTTCCCAAATATCACTGTGATACACCTACAATGTACCAAGGCAGTTCACATAGATACCACTCTTCAGTACCACATTGGTGATTCTCTAATTCCCTATATATATATATACCCACATAATCCCCTATATATATATACCCACATACTCCCCTATATATACATATATATATACCCACTCTTAAGTCATTTACAAATAAATGGCAAACATTTACAGCAAAATAAAAATAAAAATTTGATATCACTCTCCAGATACTTAAATGAAAAAGTAAGAATGCATCATCTACATATAATTTTGATTAAAAAGTATTCTATTTCTGTGTAAGTACTTGTTCTGCTGAGTGCGTTGGTGACGATATCAACCCTACTTTCTAAAATTGGTCCAATATACTTCATACAGGGTGCAAAAATCTGTCAGTCTTAAAGAATGGAAAGTTTGATTTAGGAATCTACATGTTATTGTGGGTTTATAGATACAGAACTATTTTTAATGGCAAGAACCAGATCAGCGTATTAATATAACTGGTATACTGTCATCTATAGTTACTACAAAAACTCTTGCATATTCAGACACTTTTAACAGCATTGATGAATAACCAGCAGTTCAAACACTGTGTAGAAGACACAGCTTTCTTTCTTATCAACTCAAATTACTAAGACATGTACCTCAGAATATCAATAAAGGAAGCAAATTGGCAGAATCTGAAACATTTTCAATTGTTTAGGATGTTAGAAAGTGTTATGCATTATACCTAGATATTACAGTCAGATATGGGATTTTCATTAGATGAAAGGTATGACTGTACTTCATATTACTCTAGGTTCATTGATTTACCTGTAAAAATGTCTTTTGTTCTACCTTTTTTCAGTGTGAACTGTTTTCCTATTTCAGACAGACATTTACAGTAGCTGTGTGTTTGGGCTGTATCCATCTGATTTAAAATATCCATAAAATACAGAAATATTGCAACAGTAGCAGGATCATGTATGGAGGTCGGTGATTGTTCCACTGGTAACATTCTCGTGTTATCAATTTGGCTTCCAATAAACTTTGTCCTATTAAAATAATATTAGGAGCATTCTCCTGATTTAATATTATACAATCATATCCAAGACCTCCTTAACGACACAACATCCTTTGTATGTTTTCAATCACAACCATTATTATTCTCATGTCACTCCCATGTTTTGTCCATATATGGATGTGCCATGCCCATTTTTGTCCATATATGGATATGCCATGACCATTTTTGTCCTTATTTGGTAGCACAAGCTGTAAATGGTAGTGTTATGCTTTTTTCTACCACACTGTTGACAGGCAGTATCAGTGGCTGCTGAACACATTGGTTTCCTTGAAGTAATATTTCCCTCAACTCCATGGATTGTTATCAGCATTAGAATCAAGGGAGTCTGAAATTTACAAAACAGGAGACCATGTCAACTTGTTCAGACACATGTGAAGTACATGGACTGTATTTCCTCAGATTTAAACCATACTTTTCAATATCCAAGCCACTGTGTTTTCATTTGTTAATATATTTTGTGGTCACCTTCTTTGTTTTTTTGGGCTAAAAAGACATAACAAAACTAATTTCTTCTGAACAATGTCAGATTTCGCTATCAGCCTATGATGACAGTTTTGTAATATACTGTTGCTACTACTCTGTGCTGTACTGGGTTGTACACTCTAAAAATAAAGTATTAATCATTATGTACTGGTTCAAAGAATATTGATCTTAAATGCTAAGTAAATGATGCTTCCTGATACATTACTACAGAAAAATCAATCATTCAAATATACTTCATTGACTAATAGCAATAAAAAGGATTTTGCACAACTTAATCACATCTTATAAGGCCCTTCCATAAAACCATTATCACTGGGTACCTCTATACCTCTAAGTTGCTGAGATCAAGTTACTACATGACAATACCTCTAAGTGCTGAGATCAAGTTACTACATGACAATACCTCTAAGTTGCTGAGATCCCCCACTGTGGCTAAGATTGGACCTCCGTAGTTTGACTTCGGTCTCAGACATCAGACGCAGGTCTTTTCTAGATATTTTGACAGGGGTTGCATTGGCAGGAATGTGTGGAACAGATCGTGCAGAATTAGGACGCGAACTTGACTTCTCTCCTTGGTGGGAATGGCTACACAAACGATAATAAATAACAACTTTACTTTATCATTATAACAAAATATTAGCATGGATAAACACTGTCTAAATGAACACGTTATCGTGAACTAAGTTTTTACCATTTTATAACCTAAGGAATAAATGCTGTTTTAACCAGTATCTATTCAGATTTATTAAGTCACATTTCTTGAATTTCAATATGTTATGAATATTGCGAGCCCTACCTGACGTTTTCTGTGTTTCTGTTATGTGACTGACTGTGGTTGACTTGTGCATCATCTCCCATGGAACTCTGGACGGAACCATGCACACTCATATGATCATCTCCTGTAATACAGACACTGTCACATCAACACCTAACCCACTGGACACTGCTATCACACACAATGAGATGTCAATGATTACATGTCAGCTACCAGACAGCCTGTCTTTACACAGTTGCAGTAGACATATATTTTACTGAATACCTAACAGTTTAATGTCACATCAACACCTAACCCACTGTACACTGCTATCACACACAATGAGATGTCGATGATTACATGTCAGCGACCAGACAGCCTGTCTTTACACAGTTGCTGTAGACATATATTTTACTGAATACCTAACAGTTTAAAATCATATTTGAATCAGACATTGCAAGATGTAGCAGTATTATTCAGGGAAAAGCACTTGAAAGATATATTGGAATTTTCAGTAAAATATTGATGGTTGAAATTGGAGAACATTGGTACCAACCTAAAGCACCTGAGGCATAAAGCTCCCGTAGCTTCCTCTTCAGATCTCGACTAGTTTTCTTGTAATAATATAATTCTTTTTCCAGCTGTAGATGCCTGTATCATAAAAAACATTGTGACAAAATATCTTCAATATAAAATATAATCAAGTTTCACTTTTGTATAAGTTACATCACCCTGAGACCCATCTCTTACTTGTCCCTCTCCCTTTAGCCATCAACCTCTGTTTATCTTTCTTAAGATTCTGTGTAGATGGCATGAAAACCATTCATCTACCCCACCCCACCTTGGTATAACTTACTTCAATTCTGTCAATCAGTTATAAATTAGAACCCTTTATACCTCTGTATAACTTACTTTGAGTCTTTGTCATCAGCCTGAGGTCCACCTCCAGCCCCACCCATCTCTGTATAACTTACTTGGAGTCTTTCTCATCAGCCTGGGGTCCACTTCCTGCCCCACCCATCTCTGTATAACTTACTTTGAGTCTTTGTCATCAGCCTGAGGTCCACTTCCTGCCCCACCCATCTCTGTATAACTTACTTGGAGTCTTTCTCATCAGCCTGAGGTCCACTTCCTGCCCCACCCATCTCTGTATAACTTACTTGGAGTCTTTGTCATCAGCCTGAGGTCCACCTCCTGCCCCACCCATCTCTGTATAACTTACTTTGAGTCTTTGTCATCAGCCTGAGGTCCACCTCCAGCCCCACCCATCTCTGTATAACTTACTTGGAGTCTTTCTCATCAGCCTGAGGTCCACTTCCTGCCCCACCCATCTCTGTATAACTTACTTTGAGTCTTTGTCATCAGCCTGAGGTCCACCTCCTGCCCCACCCATCTCTGTATAACTTACTTTGAGTCTTTGTCATCAGCCTGAGGTCCACCTCCTGCCCCACCCATCTCTGTATAACTTACTTTGAGTCTTTGTCATCAGCCTGAGGTCCACCTCCTGCCCCACCCATCTCTGTATAACTTACTTTGAGTCTTTGTCATCAGCCTGAGGTCCACCTCCTGCCCCACCCATCTCTGTATAACTTACTTTGAGTCTTTGTCATCAGCCTGAGGTCCACCTCCTGCCCCACCCATCTCTGTATAACTTACTTTGAGTCTTTGTCATCAGCCTGAGGTCCACCTCCTGCCCCACCCATCTCTGTATAACTTACTTTGAGTCTTTGTCATCAGCCTGAGGTCCACCTCCTGCCCCACCCATCTCTGTATAACTTACTTTGAGTCTTTGTCATCAGCCTGAGGTCCACCTCCTGCCCCACCCATCTCTGTGATCTGTCTCATCAGCAGCTGTATTTTCTGTTCATACTCTTTCTGCTGTTTGGTCAGTCTCCGGTCTATGTCTACCTGTGTCCGCTGCAGAGAAGACTCCATTTCCCGGATCAGTCTCTCCTGTTCATCTATCTTCACCTAGAGTTTACATCAGAAAGTCATTTTTCCTTTGTGAATTGCTATTATGGCACTCGTTATCAAACACAAATCATGCAGAATGTGTGAAAGCCATTCAATATGAAATTTATATTTTAATATTCCGTGATTAAAAAAGGGGGGCAATTTCACTTTGTCATTTTATTGAGCATTTACTAATTCCTAAAACAAATCCTGCTATAAATCTGAGACCATTGACTAAGCACTGTTGAATGTCCCACACTTACCTCCTGCTCACTGCTGTGAAGATTCATTTTGCGTTCCATTTCCCTCAGCTTGATGACCTTATCAAAGTAGCGAGACAGAAGTGTCCTTGTCTCTGCTGTAGACAGGGAGTTCAGACGGTTTATCATATTGTCTTCACTCTGCAAATACAGATACCGTATTTATCAGGCAATAAGCCCATGTCCAGTACTAAGCCCACCCATATCTATTGCAGTTCAGTAGAAATGTCAACAAATAATATTTCATTGTCCTGTAAAATGTACACTACAAACTCTGAAGTCTGAGATATGTGTCTATGCTTTCCAATAACATGCCTTAAATGAAGCTACAAATACTAAAAAGTTCACTTCCATGTGCAACTTTCAAGTTCTGTACTGAAAAAATAACCCTTCAAATTATAGTAAACATGAGGAATGAAATGAAAATGGCTATTCCAAAGCTAAATACATGAGGAGGGGGGTCCTGAAACTCACTATACAAATGTGAACAATTACTCAACAATCACAAGCCCCTTTATATCTAGAATAGCAGGTAGTCATTATTGTGATGGTAATGTAACAGTCAGACCGGGCTTCGAACCTGGGACCCTCAGAACTCTAGACAGATGCTCTAACAATTGAGCTACATGGTCTCAGACAATTGACCCAGTCAAGTTCCGCTAATAATAATAATAATAATTTGAGGTTCTTATATACCGCTTTATCACAACCTAGTTTGTAGGTCGTCTCAAAGCGTTACACAAATTATGATACATGGTTATAGGGCCCTTGCAACCAGCCAATAACTTTCTCAATTCCCTGGGGAGCATACAGCCAGTGCTGCCATTTCGGCGCTCACAGCTAGCATTCAACAATTCTAGCACTGCCCAACCATGTACACATTTACGGCTGAGTAGACTGGAACAAGCAGAGTAAAGTATCTTGCTCAAAGATACAACGCAGTGCCGTGCCGTGGCGTCCTACCACTAGACTTCTGTGCCTAACTACAGTAATACACCCTACAATCCACATGTATACAAATGGTAATGCTGTCCTGAGAATGTCTACCAATCCGTCTATTCAGAGATCAACCTATCAGAATTTCGATGAAAACATGTGGCAAGGATAACATTTTTGTTTTCAGATGTTGGTAGTGTACCTGTGATAACATCTGCGAGTGTCGGATCTCCAGCTGTTTGCTATTGATGTTCTCGTTTTTATAATCTATAGCTGCATCCAAGGCATCTATAGCCTCATCCAGCTCTATCATCCTACAACACAAAGAAGAGGAATTAATCAGAGGAACTTCTTAAAATGTCTCCAACATCAAAACACCAGTTACACCAATATAAAACATACCATTAAAATTTCAGTGTTACTGACACACAGCACTCCCACTGTCTGGCTGACAAAACACTTCACATTGATACTGACACACAGCACTCCCACCGTCTAGCTGACAAAACATTTCACATTGATACTGACACACAGCACTCCCACTGTCTAGCTGACAAAACACTTCACATTGATACTGACACACAGCACTCCCACCGTCTGGCTGACAAAACACTTCACATTGATACTGACACATACCACTCCCACTGTCTGGCTGACAAAACATTTCACATTGATACTGACACACGTTATTTTATCTACTGTTAGTAAATATATACCAATGTATGTCTAACTGAATTTAAAACAAAATCTCTGATTTACCTGGATACTGTTTAAACATAATTATCTTGTTTGAGTTTGAGTCTGTTGAGCTGTATACATAATTTTGCATGTGTTCTAATATTCATTATTCCACTATGACTACAAAATATGAGAAAAGAAACACGCAGCACGTTTCATGTTTTATAAGTATCACGCTAAAGTCAGATTTTGAAAAATGATTGAACAACTGAGATGACTATCTAGGGACCAGATATTTTATTAGATGACATTTGTAATAAAACACTTTTATCATAACCAGCTGGCTCTATAACAAACCTCCTCTCCTCCTGGCCTGACAGGATCCGTCCATCATGCAGTTTCTTCTCCAGTACAAGTCGCTGTTTGTTAAGTTTCTCACGACTATCCGACAACTTTTGGATTTCCTCCTTAACATGAGCCTGGTGTTCCTCGGGAGTCTGTGCCAGCTCCTTACTTTTCTCCTCTAACTTTTTGTCCATGGAATCCAGCTTGGTTGACATTGTCAGAAGGCTCTACCAATACCAAAAACAAATCATCTTTCTAATTGTTTTACAAATTCAATTGTAATTGTCAGTATGAAGTTGTCTTTACTTATGGAAACAATATCATAGACCATATAATGGTGCAATTCAAGTAATACTATTTATATCCTAAACACTCTGGAGTCATGCTACTGTGAGGGGGTAGCCTTGTTAGTGGAGAGCTACCTTATTGATGACTTGTTAGTGGAGAGCTCCCTTATTGATGATATGTTATAGGAGAGCTAACTTATAGATGGCATATGTTAGTGGAGAGCTAACTTATTGATGACATATGTTAGAGGAGAGCTACCTTATTGATGTCTTGTTAGTGGAGAGCTACCTTAATGATGACTTGTTAGTGGAGAGCTACCTCATTAATGACATATGTTAGTGGAAAACCACCTTATTGATGACATATGTTAGTGGAGAGCTACCTTATTGATGATATGTTAGTGGAGAGCTAACTTATTGATGACATATGTTAGTGGAGAGCTACCTTATTGATGACTTGTTAGTGGAGAGCTACCTTATTGATGACATATGTTAGTGGAGAGCTACCTTATTGATGACTTGTTAGTGGAGAGCTAACTTATTGATGACATATGTTAGTGGAGAGCTACCTTATTGATGACTTGTTAGTGGAGAGCTAACTTATTGATGACATATGTTAGTGGAGAGCTACCTTATTGATGACTTGTTAGTGGAGAGCTAACTTATTGATGACATATGTTAGTGGAGAGCTACCTTATTGATGACTTGTTAGTGGAGAGCTAACTTATTGATGACATATGTTAGTGGAGAGCTACCTTATTGATGACTTGTTAGTGGAGAGCTAACTTATTGATGACATATGTTAGTGGAGAGCTACCTTATTGATGACTTGTTAGTGGAGAGCTACCTTATTGATGACATATGTTAGTGGAGAGCTACCTTATTGATGACTTGTTAGTGGAGAGCTACCTTATTGATGACATATGTTAGTGGAGAGCTACCTTATTGATGACTTGTTAGTGGAGAGCTACCTTATTGATGACATATGTTAGTGGAGAGCTACCTTATTGATGACTTGTTAGTGGAGAGCTACCTTATTGATGACATATGTTAGTGGAGAGCTACCTTATTGATGACTTGTAAGTGGAGAGCTACCTTATTGATGACTTGTTAGTGGAGAGCTACCTTATTGATGACATATGTTAGTGGAGAGCTACCTTATTGATGACTTGTTAGTGGAGAGCTACCTTATTGATGACATATGTTAGTGGAGAGATACCTTATTGATGACTTGTAAGTGGAGAGCTACCTTATTAATGACTTGTTAGTGGACAGCTAACTTATTGATGACATATGTTAGTGGAGAGCTACCTTATTGATGACTTGACTCGACCGTAGTTTCTTCATCTCTAACTCGCTCTTCTCAGCAAAGATATTCTCCTTCTTGGCGACGATGGCCTCCCTTTTCTTCAGCTCCTGTTTGTTGAAAAAAAAAGAACCAAAACATGGATCACAAGTCAATAATACAATCACCAAACCTTAATTCTGATGGTACTTCTCACTACTGATCTGTGAATGTCATTATCAGCCTATATTACTTCACACTCTATACTCTGCAAACTGTTTTAGTAGCCACGTCGTATTTTTAGTAGCCAATTAAGAAAATAGACCTTTGGCTACCGACAGCGTGTGCCCTGTTAACGTACAGGACCTATTGACGTATTGACCCCTCACCTCTACACTCTCCATCAGACTGTTGAGTGGGAGACAAAGATATCACTGAAAATAAACATACAGGACCTACTGACCCCCCACCTCTACACTCTCCATCATACTGTTGAGTGGGTGACAAAGATATCACTGAAATTAAACATACAGGACCTATTGACGTGTTGACCCCTCACCTCTACACTCTCCATCAGACTGTTGAGTGGGTGACAAAGATATCACTGAAATTAAACATATAGGACCTTTTGACCTATTGACCCCTCACCTCTACACTCTCCATCAGACTGTTGAGTGGGTGACAAAGAGATATAATTTGTTGATTGATTGATTCACTATTGAGGATAAATACATGTCTAGCTATGGGCTAATCTTCTACATGGTCCTCTTGAATGATGGGGCTTTATGTCCTTGTTCTGGTTATAACTGAGCCTAGGACTTATTAACCACTCACCTCCTGTAGAGCCTCCATCTGACGTCTCTGTTCCACAACCTTCTCCACCTCGTTGTCAAGCCAACGTTTCTGTTCCTCAGTCTTGTCATGGTCCTCACTGACAACCAATCAAATTAAAACTAGAGTTAAGATGTGTACACTGTATTGTATATCCAATGTACCATTTGATCCATTTATATAAAGACATTATTGCTTCTGATATAATACAAAATACTTTTTATTTTTTTTATTTTTTTATTTTGTGCCCTCGAATAAGAGAGTAAATTGATCAGATGATGAACAATATTATGTAGATAGTTAGTAGTAGATACATTCTGGTGGTGCATGTTAGCTTTAGCTAGGTAAATTTGGATCAATTGAACACTGGGTAGAATTCTTTTAATGACACAAGAGGATAAACCTTTGGTAAAGTGCCCACATTTCAGTAATAACAGCAGCTTAGCAAAGGAAATCTAGGGATAATCAATAATACTGTGACAGAAAGTCTTATTAATATTGTGACAGACTTACATATTGATAGGGGGAAGGGAGCCACTCCTCAACTTTCTTTGTGACAGACTTACATATTGATAGGGTAAGGGAGCCACTCATTAACTTTCTTTGTGACAGACTTACATATTGATAGGTGGAAGGGAGCCACTCCTCAACTTTCTTTGTCACAGACTTACATATTGATAGGGGGAGGGAGCCACTCCTTAACTTTCTTTGTGACAGACTTACATATTGATAGGGGGAGGGAGCCATTCCTCAACTTTCTTTGTGACAGACTTACATATTGATAGGGGAAGGGAGCCACTCATTAACTTTCTTTGTGACAGACTTACATATTGATAGGGGGAAGGGAGCCGCTCCTCAACTTTCTTTGTGACAGACTTACATATTGATAGGAGGAAGGGAGCCACTCCTCAACTTTCTTTGTGACAGAGTTACATATTGATAGGGGGAGGGAGCCACTCCTCAACTTTCTTTGTGACAGACTTACATATTGAAAGGGGGAGGGAGCCACTCCTCAACTTTCTTTGTGACAGTCTTACATATTGATAGGGGGAAGGGAGCCACTCCTTAACTTTCTTTGTGACAGACTTACATATTGATAGGGGGGAGGGAGCCACTCCTTAACTTTCTTTGTGACAGAGTTACATATTGATAGGAGGAAGGGAGCCACTCCTCAACTTTCTTTGTGACAGAGTTACATATTGATAGGGGGAAGGGAGCCACTCCTTAACTTTCTTTGTGACAGAGTTACATATTGATAGGGGGAGGGAGCCACTCCTCAATTTTCTTTGTGACAGACTTACATATTGATAGGGGGAGGGAGCCACTCCTCAATTTTCTTTGTGACAGACTTACATATTGATAGGGGGGAGGGAGCCACTCCTTAACTTTCTTTGTGACAGACTTACATATTGATAGGGGGAAGGGAGCCACTCCTTAACTTTCTTTGTGACAGACTTACATATTGATAGGGGGAAGGGAGCCACTCCTCAACTTTCTTTGAGCTGCTGCTATCTCTTCATTTTTGCGCTTCAGAATTTTCTGCTGTTGTTCATTTTTTAACTGCAATTCCTTCACTCTATGAACTTCTTTCTGCATTTCTCTCTAAAATGGAACAGAAGTAAATGATCAGTTTGCATGCAGTACACATTTGTCGGGATATATCATTTTAGAAATATTATTGATAATATAATTGATATCATTCAAAGAAATTTTTCCATTTTTTTTTTTTTTTTTAAATTCAAAGTTTCAAAGCACAGCAATTTATTGAAATATTATACTGAAGATAAAATAATATGAACAACTTAATATATATGTAATAATAGTTTTGTACGGCAGAATGCACCAACATGCCATCCTACATAAAAAAAAATACAATTACAGGGAAATGTTAAATAAAGGAAAACAACAACGACAACAAACATGTATGTTGAAATTAATGTTCCAGATAGTTAATATCAAACCAGTGGTACAATGTTTTGTTTGTTTTTATAACTATGGCATGTGATAGCAGAACTTAGGTTTCCAATGGTTTGTTTGTTTTTATAACTATGGCATGTGATAGCAGAACTTAGGTTTCCATTTCAAGCTAGCCCCAACGGAATGTTAGCTGTGAATCAGAGGCAAAAACTCTTCAAAAACATATTTGCAGACATGTTAGATGATAGAACAACAAGAGGGTGACAATCAGGCACAGATTTCCACATACCTCATGGTGCAACCCCATCACCTTTAACACAGGCAATGTTCTTACTTTTTTATTTATCTAAATATAAAAACATCTTCCACACACTCTTTTAATTTCTAGAATTATTGGTAATCAAGTTTGATAAAATGATTATAAAACTTTTTCATCTCATATTTTATTTCTTTTTACTTACCGGTAATCATTAACACTACATTTACATGAATTAAAACACACAGTTTGACAGTTTAATTATGAAATATCCCTAAAGACTCAAAAACTTCCAGGCTCTTCTGTAAATATCCTACAGCTAAACTGAGACAAAACTACTGACCTCCAATTTGCTCTTCCTCTCCGTTTCCTCCTTGAGACGTTTATTCAGAGATTCCTGTTGTTGTTTCATCCTGTCTACATTCAGCTCCAGGTCCTGGATCCTGTTATTTATAGAAAACTTACTGTTAGCAACAATAGTATATACTTAATTTGCAGAAAACTGTTAGCTACAAAACCATGTACTTAATTTGCATAAAACTGTTAGCTACAAAACCATGTACTTAATTCACAGAAAACTGTTAGCTACAAAACCATGTACTTAATTCACAGAAAAGAAAAGTGTTAGCTACAAAACCATATACTTAATTCGAAGAAAACTGTTAGCTACAAAACCATATACTTAATTTGCAGAAAACTGTTAGCTACAAAACCATATACTTGATTCACAGAAAACTGTTAGCTACAAAACCATATACTTGATTCACAGAAAACTGTTAGCTACAAAACCATGTACTTAATTCACAGAAAACTGTTAGCTACAAAACCATATACTTGATTCACAGAAAACTGTTAGCTACAAAACCATGTACTTAATTCACAGAAAAGAAAAGTATTAGCTACAAAACCATATACTTAATTCGAAGAAAACTGTTAGCTACAAAACCATATACTTAATTTGCAGAAAACTGTTAGCTACAAAACCATGTACTTAATTTGCATAAAACTGTTAGCTACAAAACCATGTACTTAATTCACAGAAAACTGTTAGCTACAAAACCATGTACTTAATTTGCATAAAACTGTTAGCTACAAAACCATGTACTTAATTTGCATAAAACTGTTAGCTACAAAACCATGTACTTAATTCACAGAAAACTGTTAGCTACAAAACCATATACTTAATTCGGAGAAAAGTGTTAGCAACAAAACCATATACTTAATTATCAGAGTTGTAGAGTAGACACAATTGTGTCTACAAACAGATAGAACCTAGTTCTGTATTCCCCTTCCCAAACTTTGATGCAGATGGAGGTATAAAAAGTGTCTAGCACTGCCACAAGTAACCCTTACTTTTTATCGTTCTGCATTGTAAAGTTGGCAATTTTCTCTGTGTCTTTCTGTCGTTTATGCAGGGTTGATATCCTTGCTTTAGCACTTTCTATTTTTTTCCTGTATTCACTGCAATACAATAAGATCACAATCATAATATCAGACGAGTTCAATTTAGTTTTTTCTAGCAATGCTTTTGCAAAAAACACAACTTGCTGTTACACAATTGTCTCCTTACTTTATCAAAGCAAACAAATTATTGCAGAAGATAATAAAACGAACTTGTAACGAGGAAAAAAAAAAATAGTGGTTCTTTTCAAATATATCTCAGTCTTATCTAGAAACTAGCATGATGAATTTTATATAACCCAAAATAAAAGCTACATACGACTGTAGCTTTTGTTTTTCTGAGGATTCTTGTTGACCTTTGGCCTCAATTTCTGACAGAACCTTCTGTGTCTCTGACAGATCGCCCTTCACTTTTTCTTTTTCCTGGAAAATGGAAAATAAAAGATGTAAACAAATTCTCTCTAGTGACCCACAGAGTCAAAGCATGTCACAATTTCTGTTCTTTTATGCATGTTTCTCTATCGGTTTCAACATAATTATGCACGTTAACATGAACAAAATTTGACCAAACTAACCTGGAATACTTAACAGTAGGCCTATGTTGTACATTGGAAATAAAAGCAAGACATATGTAAACACATACATTTAACTTCATAATATCAAATCAAGAAAACACCAGTTAAGATCATCCTAATGTCACGGCCATTTTATCACTGTTATGTAAGTAACATGTTTTTGTTTACAAAATATGAAATCATGTCTCAAGATTTAGTCTAATATCAGATAAATATTATTATCCTTATGCAGACCTTTTCCAAGGCTCGGATTTTTTCAGCATATTGTTTATTCATGGTCTCAGAGTCTTTCCCAGTCTTCACTAGCTCTTTGATGAGTTGCTCCTTCATCCTGTCAAATTGAAAATATATCATTATTTTATTTCATGAAATATAGTAACGAATATGCATGGGACTGGTAGACCAGTAAATAATGATGAGCCTGTTGATTGGCTAGCATCACATTATCTACCCCAAAGTCCTAGTCTCCTCAGTGTTTTAATGACTGATTCACTCATTTATTCTTTGCTGCTGCTCAACACAAAAAACGTCAAGACAACTTGAATTCTTTTTAAAAGTGTTGGATATTTTACTGACAAGGGCGACCCACAAATTGTGCTTAACAGGTTACAAAGTCATGATAACAAGAGATCCCAGAGGGATCTTGGTGCCCACCTTTGTTACATCTTCATAAGTTCTTTGTCAGTTCGATCTTTTCTCTTCTTTCCTCTAATCTGTTTGATCGAGTCATGTTAACAGTAAATGCACCTTGAGGTAACTTTTGATCTGAACTTAATTCTGATGTGTATGAAAGCCAACCTTCAAAGAGAGTTTGTCATTTCACATATTTACTAGTACAGTACTTAATGTGAAAGAAATAGAATCGATCATTGCAATATGAGAAAGATCTGTTTAATTCTTCTTTTAATCCATTTTGTTCTTATGATCAGTCTCAAAATATAACATACACAACGAGGGATCAAGGGGAACCTACATTTAAAATTTGAGAAAGATCCCTCCCATACTTCCCGAGAAATAGCGATAACAAACTTTCACTATCAAAATCCAAGATGGCTGCCTATCGGCCATGTTGTTTATCCGATCAGTCTCTAAAATTGCCCTGCACAGCTAGGACCAAGGGGAACCTACATATAAAATTTAAGAAAGATCCCTCTGGTACTTCTTCAGAAATAGTGATAACAAACTTTCAATATCAAAATCCAAGATGGCTGCCTGTCCGCCATGTTGTTTATCCGATCAGTCTCAAAAGTTGCCCTGCACAGCTAAGGACCAAGGGGAACCTACATATAAAATTTGAGAAAGATCCCTCTGGTACTTCTTGAGAAATAGCGATAACAAACTTTCACTATCAAAATCCAAGATGGCTGCCTGTCGGCCATGTTGTTTATCCGATCAGTCTCAAAAGTTGCCCTGCAAAGCTAAGGACCAAGGGGAACCTACATATACAATTGAAGAAAGATCCCTTTGATACTTCCCGAGAAATAGCGATAACAAACTTTCAATATCAAAATCCAAGATGGCTGCCTGTCAGCCATGTTGTTTATCCGATCAGTCTCAAAAGTTGCCCTGCACAGCTAAGGACCAAGGGGAACCTACATATAAAATTGGAAAAAGACCCCTTTGATACTTCCCAAGATATAGCGATAACAAACTTTCAATATCAAAATCCAAGATGGCTGCCTGTCAGCCATGTTGTTTATCCGATCAGTCTCAAAAGTTGCCCTGCACAGCTCAGGACCAAGGGGAACCTACATATAAAATTTGAGAAAGATACCTCTGGTACTTCTTGAGAAATAGCGTTAACAAAGAATTGTTTACGGACGGACGACGGACGACAGACCACGGACGCAGGGTGATTTGAATAGCCCACCATCAGATGATGGTGGGCTAAAAACACCGGTAGATGCATACTTAATGTTGATGGAGAGATCCCTCATTTTCTGCTGGGACTCGACCATCTTCAGCTGCGATTCCTTAATCTGTCGCTGAGTGTTGGTGCTTTTTCTTACTTCTTCACTATGTCTGAGTAAATGGCCGTCCAGGTCTCCAGCTGATGAAGACAAGCTTGATCTTGCGGAATCTGACCATAGATACATACAAAAAAATCAAAACAAGGTAAAAAAAACTTATAGCAAAACCAATCAAAATACAAGTATTTTAAAACAGACTAGAGCATGAGAGAACAGAGCAACACTTAGATAATATGAAGACGTATTTTGAAAACAAAATTTTACGTGTTTGTTACCACTTTTTCCATTTCCTTTCCCTCAATGATTGCAAACCTATGGCTGACACATTACTCTATTAAGATTTTGTTGGCATTTAAAGGGATTTTAAAACAATGACTTCTATTAAATGTCAAGCGTCCAATCCTGGTTCCTGCTTCTGATTTAGTTTGAAATTAAAATGTGACAATCACTTAATTTGGAATTAAAATACGAAAGTCATTTAACAGTGTCAAATTAAAATGTGAGTGTCATTATACCTAAATCTTTAAGTTATAGAACCAACATGCATTACCTCCCCTGCTGAATCGGATCTCGGGAATGTTGACACTACTGGCATTGTTCTCTTTGTTCTCCTCCGTTTTCTTCTCCTTTCCAACTTTGAATGTCCCCCTTCTTGTGAGCCTTGTCCCAGACCTAGAAACACATACAAATCATAAATATTTCAATCTTATCGGAAATATTACACATGATTGAATTTTACAACATTATCTTATAGATCTCTAAATGTTGATTACAATAAATCTCTAAGACCTTTCACACAAATGTCATTACAATACATTTCATTACAACACATGCTATATAACTTGACCCAGTACATTTCTACCATAAATATAGGATAACTGTAGATCTAGCTTCCATCTAGAATTTCCATTAAGAACGCTGACTCTTACAAGGACTGTCTTTAGCTGGATAAACAAAGCAGCCTTGGTAAATGTGAAAAACATTTCATCTCATTATGACAGCAAGAGATCATTAACTTTTCACTCCATCTGCACCATACATATATCCTTGTATTTACTTACCTTGCGGATGCTCGTTCACTTTCGTTATTTCCCCCAGCAGCTGCCTCACCATATGTCGGGTGTAGGACCTCATCATTGTCCTCCAGGCGGCTCACCAACAGCTGACTCCGCGCCCGGAAACTCTTCATTACTCGCTCAAGTGTGAACAGGGCAGGACTTGTCTTGATATTTCTTGACGGCGGTCGGAGACCAGAGTTTGTCTGGATCAAACGTTATGTACATTATTTTATCTGCTCAGTGTTAACAATCACATCAAACCATAAATATCAGTGCTCAGTTGCTGGCTGGGAAACTATAATTTGATACTGCAATTATATAAGATGCCTGGCACTGTAACGGGACAAAAACATATATATTTTATACGAAAGGTTTTAGTACAGATGTATGTGTTTCTGAAATGTTTCGTACTACATATCCCACAGTAGTATACACCACCGCGTAAGGATACAGATTTATATAGTTCTATATAATGATAAGGTATATCCCACAGTAGTATACACCACCGCGTAAAGATACAGGTTTATATACTTTTATATAATGATAAGGTATATCCCCCAGTAGTATACAACACCGCGTAAGGATACAGATTTATATAGTTCTATATAATGATACGGTATATCCCACAGTAGTATACAACTCCGCGTAAGTATACAGATTTACATACGTCTATATAATGATAAGGCATATCCCAAAGTAGTATACACAACCGCGTAAGGATACAGGTTTACATACTTCTATAAAATGATAAGGTATATCCCACAGTACTATACACCACCGCGTAAAGATACAGATTTCCATACTTCTATATAATGATAAGGAGTAGTATACACCACCGCGTAAGGATACAGATTTATATAGTTCTATATAATGATACGGTATATCCCACAGTAGTATACAACACCGCGTAAGGATACAGATTTATATAGTTCTATATAATGATACGGTATATCCCACAGTAGTATACATCACCGCGTAAAGATACAGATTTCCATACTTCTATATAATGATAAGGAGTAGTATACACCACCGCGTATAGATACAGGTTTACATACTTCTATAAAATGATAAGGTATATCCCACAGTAGCATACACCACCGCGTAAAGATAAAGGTTTATATACTTCTATATAATGATAAGGGATATCCCACAGTAGTATACACCACTTGGTAAAGATACAGGTTTATATACTTTTATATAATGATAAGGTATATCCCAAAGTAGTATACACAACCGCGTAAGGATACAGGTTTACATACTTCTATAAAATGATAAGGTATATCCCACAAAGTATACACCACCGGGTAAAGATACAGATTTACATACGTCTATATAATGATAAGGTATATCCAACAGTAGTATACAACACCGCGTAAGGATACAGATTTATATAGTTCTATATAATGATACGGTATATCCCACAGTAGTATATACCACCGCGTAAAGATACAGGTTTATATAATTCTATATAATGATAAGGGATATCCCAAAGTAGTATACACCACCGCGTAAGGATACAGATTTATATAGTTCTATATAATGATACGGTATATCCCACAGTAGTATACATCACCGCGTAAAGATACAGATTTCCATACTTCTATATAATGATAAGGTAAATCCCACAGTAGTATACACCACTGGGTAAAGATACAGGTTTATATAATTCTATATAATGATAAGGTATATCCCAAAGTAGTATACACCACCGCGTAAGGATACAGGTTTACATACTTCTATATAATGATAAGGTATATCCCACAGTAGTATACACCACTGGGTAAAGATACAGATTTACATACTTCTATATAATGATAAGGTATATCCCACGGTAGTATACACCACCGGGTAAAGATACAGGTTTATATACTTCTATATAATGATAAGGTATATCCCACAGTAGTATACACCACTGGGTAAAGGTACAGATTTACATACTTCTATATAATGATAAGGAATATCCCACAGTAGTATACACCACTGGGTAAAGATACAGATTTATATACTTCTATATAATGATAAGGTATATCCAACAGTAGTATACACCACCGCGTAAAGATACAGATTTATATTCTTCTATATAATGATAAGGTATATCCCACAGGAGTATACACCTCCGCGTAAGGATACAGATTTACATAATTCTATATAATGATAAGGTATATCCCACAGTAGTATACACCTCCGCGTAAGGATACAGATTTACATACTTCTATATAATGATAAGGTATATCCCACAGTAGTATACACCACCGCGTAAGGATACAGGTTTATATACTTCTATATAATGATAAGGTATATCCCACAGTAGTATACACCACTGGGTAAAGATACAGGTTTACATACTTCTATATAATGATAAGGGGAGGTAATCAGCTAGCTGTTACACTAGACAGACTTTCAAGGCCCTCCATCATTTTGATTGTCCAAATACTCTGGCATTATAAGACACTACATCTGTATAACTAAACCCCTGTAATATATTCTATATACTTACTGTATCTGGCCGCCGATGCATGTGGGCAGGAACAGATTTTGGCCGCCTACTTGAGAAGGGGGCAGGTGGTGCACTGGCCGACACTGCATCATCATCCAATACACTGCTCTCACTGAGGAAGGTGTCCTGTGTACAAACATTGTAGCGCTCAAATATCAGGTATTGTATTAACTTACACTCTCATCTGTTTAGTAAATAAAAATTGTTCAATATTCTGTCCATATAATGAACTGGTTAATAGAAGTACATGAAGAAACAAACTTCTAATATTTCAAACCTTTCGACATTTCAAAGATCAATCTTACTTCTGTCATACAAGTACCATCATAAAATGAGCATGTATTTTTTTTTTTTAAATTTCATGTTTTTACACTAAAATCTTCCAATACATATCCAAAAGAGTTATCTTAAAATTATCATCCCCAGACTCATTTTATACAAATGTTTCATTTTCAATACTACAAATTAATCATGTATAGCTCCATTAAAATTAATTAAATTACAAGGAATTAAGAAATGTGAACAATTGCAAGTCAAACATATTTCTGTGAATAAAAAAACCCATTATTGTAACAGGTGTAAACAAAATACCAGCAATAAACAGTTAATTTCATTGTAAAAAAATAAACCATCTCCAAAGACTTCCCACATCAGGAGTGTTAACTGTACAAAAGTAGGACTGTACAAAGTAAAATGTACACTGTACAAAAGTAGGACTGTACACTGTACAAAGTAAGGACTGTGCACTGTACAAAGTAAGGACTGTGAACAAAAATAGGACTGTACACTGTACACAAGTAAGGACTGTACACTACAAAAGTAAGGACTGTTAACTGTACAAAAGTAGGACTGTACAAAGTTAGGACTGTGCACTGTACAAAAATAGAACTGTACACGGTACAAAAGCAAGGACTGTGCACTGTACAAAAGTAGCACTGCACACTGTACAAATGTAGGACTGTACAAACGTAAGACTGTACTCCAACAACTTTCTGTTTGGTGACAGTACATTATACTGTTTCCCTTTATATCAGGCACCAATTGCCAGAAGAAAATGTGATATAAAGTGAAATGTTAAACAGAAACATTGTCTTTTTGTGAAATAAATGATTTTTTTTTGTTTGTTTGTTTGATTTTGTTTAACGTCCTATTAACAGCTAAGGTCATTTAAGGACGGCCTCCCCTGTGTGCAAGATGCATGCGTGTAGTGTATGTGTGTGTATTTTGGGAGGCTGCGATATGTTCGTGTTTGTCTTCTTGTAATAGCGCGGAACTGATGCCGACTTTATAGTGCTACCTCACTGAAACATACTGCCGAAGACACCCAGCAGGACGCCCCACCCGGTCACATTATACTGACAACGGGCGAACCAGTCGTCCCACTCCCAATTTGCTGAGCGTTAAGCAGGAGTAGAAACTGCCATTTTTAAAGACTTTGGTATGTCTCGGCCAGGGGACAGAACCCAAAGCCTTCCTCACAGGGGCGAACGCTCAACAAATGGCCAAAAGTGAGGCATTGTCAAGGGAGACATTAGGAAAAAGAAAGTTATTTAGAAAGGAGAGAAGAGATAAGGTCCCAAATTTAGTCCCCTCTTACGATCATGCAATTGGGGGCAGCAGGTACAATTCTTACACCCTACCTGCAGAGTGAGCACTGCACACTACAAAAGTAGGACTATATAATGTACAAATTTAGGACTGTGCACTGTACAATAGTAGGATTGTACACTGTACAAACGTAGGACTGTACTCTGTACAAAAGTAGGACTGTACACTGTACAAAGTAAGGACTGTGCCCTGTAAAGTAGGACTGTAAACTGGACAGCAGTAGGACTGTGAACTGTAGAAAAGAAGGACTGTACACTGTACAAAAGTAGGACTGTACACTGTACAAACATAGGACTGTACACTGTACAAACATAGGACTGTACACTGTACAAACATAGGACTGTACACTGTACAAATGTAGTACTGTACACTGTACAAAAGTAGGACTGTACACTGTACAAATGTAGGACTGTACAAACGTAAGACTGTACTCCAACAACTTTCTGTTTGGTGACAGTACATTATACTGTTTCCCTTTATATCAGGCACCAATTGCCAGAAGAAAATGTGATATAAAGTGAAATGTTAAACAGAAACATTGTCTTTTTGTGAAATAAATGATGTCTAGTATAAAGTTAAGAACATGTACAAAGTCATACTTAACATTTTACATAAAAATGTGCCCTGTCATTACATAGCACACCTAGTTTACTGAAGACACCTCTGTTTAATCTCTGATTTTAGCTAAACAGTGGCCTTTGAATAAGATTTTTTTACATGTGATGTGTTAGGCAACTGGATATGTCAATGCTCACCGATATGATACAAAACAGCTAAATTACACAGAAAATTACAGCGTAAAATTATCATATCAACTGAAAATACAATGCATACGAGGAGTTTTAAGTGGAATCCAATTTACTCCAAAACTTTCAGTAAGTGTGTGTGAAACTGTGCAGCATACTTAATTAGGAAAGCAAATAGTACTATATAAATAAAGAAAACAGTACTATATAAATATAGAAAATTGCTGTAGAATGTAATTTTTAATTTTCATGGTGTCCTTCCAAATCTATATTTGAAACATCAGCTTTACAAAGCAGGATTTGATATAGAGAAAGTCAGGCATCTTAACTATCCTTAAACAACAATGTGTTTTTCACTAGCTTTACAAACAAGGATCTCATCTTTACTCTCCTAAAATGATGTCTCTTTAACTAGCTCTACAAAATCAAGGCTGCTGAGTGTATTACACAGAGATAAAGGTTCTAAAACAGGTAGTGGCAGAAGCAAGTTAAAGGCATATTAATGTCTAGATAACATACGTTAATCTTCTCATCATGGAATTATCAACATTTAATTTACAAATCATGAAATCATTACTATCTCCATCTTATAATTCAAATATTGAAAAAAAAATATGATTTAGAGAAAAAAATAATTCATACAGTGTTCAACAAAATTGATTGTCCACTGATGAAACTAGAACACTGACAGGTCAGTAAGGGCCCCGCCTTGTGGCAATATACCCCCCATAACCATCAAGAAGCAATCTGTCCTGTGTGAATTCACGTCAACTAGCAGATTAAATATAGGGAGTCAATATTAGACCTGTGTGAGTTCACGTCAACTAGCTGATTTAATATAGGGAGTCTATATTAGTCCTGTGTGAATTCACGTCAAGTAACAGATTAAATATAGGGAGTCTATATGAGACCTGTGTGAGTTCACGTCAACTAGCAGATTTAATATAGGGAGTCTATATTAGACCTGTGTGAGTTCACGTCAACTAGCAGATTTAATATAGGGAGTCTATATTAGACCTGTGTGAGTTCACGTCAACTAGCTGATTTAATATAGGGAGTCTATATTAGTCCTGTGTGAATTCACGTCAAGTAGCAGATTAAATATAGGGAGTCTATATGAGACCTGTGTGAGTTCACGTCAACTAGCAGATTTAATATAGGGAGTCTATATTAGACCTGTGTGAGTTCACGTCAACTAGCAGATTTAATATAGGGAGTCTATATTAGACCTGTGTGAGTTCACGTCAACTAGCTGATTTAATATAGGGAGTCTATATTAGTCCTGTGTGAATTCACGTCAAGTAGCAGATTAAATATAGGGAGTCTATATTAGACCTGTGTGAGTTCACGTCAACTAGCAGATTTAATATAGGGAGTCTATATTAGACCTGTGTGAGTTCACGTCAACTAGCTGATTTAATATAGGGAGTCTATATTAGTCCTGTGTGAATTCACGTCAAGTAGCAGATTAAATATAGGGAGTCTATATTAGACCTGTGTGAGTTCACGTCAACTAGCAGATTTAATATAGGGAGTCTATATTAGACCTGTGTGAGTTCACGTCAACTAGCTGATTTAATATAGGGAGTCTATATTAGTCCTGTGTGAATTCACGTCAAGTAGCAGATTAAATATAGGGAGTCTATATGAGACCTGTGTGAGTTCACGTCAACTAGCAGATTTAATATAGGGAGTCTATATTAGACCTGTGTGAGTTCACGTCAACTAGCTGATTTAATATAGGGAGTCTATATTAGTCCTGTGTGAATTCACGTCAAGTAGCAGATTAAATATAGGGAGTCTATATGAGACCTGTGTGAGTTCACGTCAACTAGCAGATTTAATATAGGGAGTCTATATTAGACCTGTGTGAGTTCACGTCAACTAGCTGATTTAATATAGGGAGTCTATATTAGTCCTGTGTGAATTCACGTCAAGTAGCAGATTAAATATAGGGAGTCTATATTAGACCTGTGTGAGTTCACGTCAACTAGCAGATTTAATATAGGGAGTCTATATTAGACCTGTGTGAGTTCACGTCAACTAGCTGATTTAATATAGGGAGTCTATATTAGTCCTGTGTGAGTTCACGTCAACTAGTAGATTTAATATAGGGAGTCAATATTAGACCTGTGTGAGTTCACGTCAACTAGCTGGTTGAATATAGGGAGTCTATATTAGTCCTGTGTGAGTTCACGTCAACTAGCAGATTAAATATAGGGAGTCTATATTAGATCTGTGTGAGTTCACGTCAACTAGCAGATTAAATATAGGGAGTCTATATTAGACCTGTGTGAGTTCACGTCAACTAGCAGTTTTAATATAGGGAGTCTATATGAGACCTGTGTGAGTTCACGTTAACAATATGGCTCTAAGAATATAGTCAACTAGCAGATTGAATATAGGGAGTCTATATGAGACCTATTTGAGTTCACGTCAACTAGCAGAATAAATATAGGGAGTCTATATGAGACCTGTGTGACGTTACGTTATCAATAAGGCTCTAATATGTTTGCACTAATCCATGCGCAATATCTATCCTAGTTTATAATTTACAATATCAGGACATATAATTGTGGTTATACATTTCGAAAAATGATAAAACAGGCTATTTTTTTATAAAACAGGTTATTTTTTTCCATGAGATGTTATATATATATCTTCTAATATAATGGTGTAGTTGTGGTAAGAAGTACAGAATATAAGATGACAAATACCTTATCAATAAATCAGACAAGTTAAAATAACTACTCTGATTTAACTCTAATAATTTAACTGATAATTCAGTTTAATTTAGGTCCACAGAATAACTTGTATTTGATAAGTGATGTAAAATATCACTTTTAGTTCATAAAATTAGAAACTAGCTAAAAACTACTTAGAAAAATTAGTCAGAAAATTGATTTGTGTCAGAACTACATAGGGTGATTAAAGTATATTTGGTTTTTTTTTTACCTCTGTCTGAAAAATAAAATTGAAATAAAAAGCAAAAATAAATGTCAGTAATATATACATGTGTGCTGAAAAGTATATCTACGAAAAATGCTGTCGATTAGTGTTACCACAAGCAATAAAGTTCAATTTCTAATGTTCAATCAGCGTTACACAAAACTTTTTATTTTCGTTTATTAGAGGACATATTTTAAGAGCTTTTTGAGTTCTTAAGGAATATCATGATGGGGTTTTTTTTAAAGTTAAACCAAAAATGATAGGAGTTGTGGATTTTTCTTTTTAGTATAGGACAATATGATAATTATCATTAATTGAACCATGGATGTTATTGACTTCCGGAGAAGGTGAATATTTGTGCTGCATTGGAAAAAAATAAATTCTTTCGATAGATTTTAACAAGTTAAAACTGTGATGGGTAAAATCCTGTGGGAAGTTGGGGGAAGACTGTTAATTAATGGATTGTTCCAAATGAAATATGTTTTCCAGAAAAGGTCAGCGATAGAGTAACAGAGAGACATGATGAGTAATTTAGTTTCTTTCTCATGCATTCAATAATAATTATACAATTGATATTTTTTTCACATATTTTTATCTATGTAAAAAAGTTGTTGGTGTTCCAATCTTTCTGAGTAGACAAGTTAGTAGTTTTCTACTTTGTTCAGTGTTGGCTATACTGTTACACGAGATAAGTTTTGCCACACAGACTGGTGTTTGACTAAGGTTTACCTTGAGAGCACGTTGAAGTTCCTCTATCCTCATCTGCTGCTCCAGTAATTGTTCTCCCTGCAGTTTGATGCGATCATCTGCCTGCACAAGTTCCTGGTCCCGTTGCTCCAGGAGAGTCTCCTGTAAAATACACAGTAACAGCGTAATAATATAGATTATTATATGCTTAAAATTTCTCGCAATCACATTGGCCGGGTCCTATACAGGTGACCAGCCCTCTTAAACTCATGCAGATTGGTTATCCGGTGAATATCGATTTCTAAATATAACCTCTATGGAAATTCCCCTCAACCTCTCCTAGCACATGAGCAGTTAGACAGGTGCGCAGTCTGTCAGATGCCAACAGTAGATGGCTACTGGTAAACATTTCGCCTCCCTAACATCTGAACATTTCATAAAAACTGCTTGACGATAACTTCACAAGCTACAATGTTGAATTGTTGGATTCAACCCTTGCTAAATTTTATAGAGAACTGATTTTTTTTTTTAATGTTGAAGCATATAATAAAACAGTTCTGGGCTTTTGTGCTGGTAAATATGATGTATTGTGATATGAACCTGAAGAAGTGATATTAACATTGGGTTTGCCACGGTCAATATAACTTTTTCAGGTTCATATCACATCATATTCACCAGCATGAAAGTCCATAATTGTATAATGTAACATTTAACTGTGACATATATAGTTGATACAGGGACTGTAAGATATAACAGTAACAGTACAGGTGTAGACCAGGATCTGCGTTTAGGACTTTTTAACTTATTGAAGCATAGAAATTGAAAAGGCCCCAATTTCCAGGAATCCTGTTTAAAACTATGCAGAAGGACCCCATTCAACCTGAAAAGGACCCTTTTTATAAAATAACCCTGAGGACTGTAAAATACACAGTAACAGGACAAATATAGACTGTAAATTATTGAAGTGTAAATGTGTAGACTATAGGATACACAATAATAACATAAATAAAAAGATGTAGAGGCATACGTACCAGCTCCTCTAATCTGTCTATCATCTGACTATGGTCTCGACTTTTCTCAGCAAAGATTTCCTCGTCACTCTTCAGGTCTTCCTTACACTACACATAAACAATTCAATACATTGTATAATGGTTTATCCTTTCAATTCACAAGCAAACTCATTCGATGAACTGGTTAATCCTCATACTTTAACAACATATAATTGGATAGCCTTTAGTCTGGGCTCCCCTTAGACAGTTAAGTCTGATCAGTTGAACTTTGGGCTCAAATTAGAGAGTTGTGTTTAAGTGTAAGACTCACCTTAAATAGTTGTGACTGTACGTCTTTGATGGTTTTAGAGAGTTGTGTTTAAGTGTAAGACTTACCTTAAATAGTTGTGACTGTAAGTCTTTGATGGTTTTAGAGCGTTGTGTTTAAGTGTAACACTCACCTTAAATAGTTGTGACTGTAGGTCTTTGATGGTTTTAGAGAGATGTGTTTAAGTGTAAGACTCACCTTAAATAGTTGTGACTGTACGTCTTTGATGGTTTTAGAGAGTTGTGTTTAAGTGTAAGACTTACCTTAAATAGTTGTGACTGTAAGTCTTTGATGGTTTTAGAGAGTTGTGTTTAATTGTAAGACTTACCTTAAATAGTTGTGACTGTAAGTCTTTGATGGTTTTAGAGTGTTGTGTTTAAGTGTAAGACTCACCTTAAATAGTTGTGACTGTAATTCTTTGATGGTTTTAGAGAGTTGTGTTTAAGTGTAAGACTTACCTTAAATAGTTGTGACTGTAAGTCTTTGATGGTTTTAGAGCGTTGTGTTTAAGTGTAACACTCACCTTAAATAGTTGTGATTGTAAGTCTTTGATGGTTTTAGAGAGTTGTGTTTAATTGTAAGACTCCCCTTAAATAGTTGTGACTGTAAGTCTTTGATGGTTTTAGAGAGTTGTGTTTAGGTGTAATACTCACCTTAAATAGTTGTGACTGTAAGTCTTTGATGGTTTTAGAGAGTTGCGCTTAAGTGTAACACTCACCTTAAATAGTTGTGACTGTAGGTCTTTGATGGTTTTAGAGAGATGTGTTTAAGTGTAAGACTCACCTTAAATAGTTGTGACTGTAATTCTTTGATGGTTTTAGAGAGTTGGGTTTAAGTGTAAGACTCACCTTAAATAGTTGTGACTGTACGTCTTTGATGGTTTTAGAGAGTTGTGTTTAAGTGTAACACTCACCTTAAATAGTTGTGACTGTAAGTCTTTGATGGTTTCGTTATCCACTTCCTCCCTTGTCAATGTGGACGGCACTTTATTTTTTATCTGGTAACATAATCACACACAAGATGATGTAAATCACAGTCTATTTAATAATCTTCAATCAAATTGCCTCTCATCACCATGGCTTCAGGCTTTGGGCCTCTATCTTTCACTTTCAGCTTTTCTGTCGGCTTTTAATGAACACATTTTGAAAGAAGAAAAATTTGTGGATATAAAGAACAATGATAATTGGTGAAATACAATAATTACCCATATAAATCACAGGTGATTATTTTAGGACATGAACCCATTTTAAACATACATATAATGTTTTACATACCTCCTCCATCAAGTCTAGCCAGTCTTTAAGACGGAAGTCTTGGCTCTGAGACAAAATGTCACGGTCCTGGATCTCCATCAACTGTTTGTAAGCTTCGTCGGCTATCATCTTGTAGTGTGAACACTCCGTCTGTAGCCTGACAAAAGATTCCTAAACTATAGACACAGCAAACACGCTTCCTTGTATTTCAGACAAGGATATCACATGTGTATCCAGTCCTTAATTTTTCTAATGGAGTTTGTGTGCTTCCTCTACATTACATACGACACCAGAACATCCTGTTGTGATCTGCTATGACTTTTACCCAAGCTAAGTGTGTCAGTGACAGGATGAGTGACTGTAACATCCTAGTCACAGCTAACACGCCGATAAGGATTCAGTATATCACAGCTGGACTGATTTTAAATTGTTTCTAAAGTTTAACAGTGAACAAATAACATTTCTTTTTGTAATCTATGATTCAAGTCTTCAAAGATTGCAATCAGCATATACCGGTACTTCATCTTCCTTCAAAATAACAATCTCCTACTTTAAATATTACCTTAAATTGTCCCTTTTTATTTCATATGACATAATCTTCACCTGTTGATGTTGGTCATAACTAGGTAAAAGATTCATATATCTTTAATAATCCAATGAATAAAAGTAAGCCACATTTGTACTTTAAACTGCGAGAAACTTTCTTCAAATACCTGCTGGCTTGATCTTCCAGGTGTTTCATGTTTGCTGCCTCCTGTATTGCCCTCTCTGCATTAACCATGTCCCCAGCCCCGCCGTTACTCAGTATCGACGTCCTCTGACGCACAAGTTCCTCACGTAGGGCCTAACAATGAAAACAGCAATTTCATGGGCTGCACAAATTTCAATAATAAATGCCATCCCTACGATCAGCCTGAACATTTAGTGGTCATCATGGGTCCTACAGAATGAACATGTAGTAAACAGCAGAAGGTAGCATCCTCTGAGGTGAGAATACAGAGATGGGGAAATGAATGGAAAAGAAATGCAAGGAGATGTCACTCTTGGCACATTTTATCAACACAAGAAGTTGAAAGCAATCAGGCTGTCAGAACTCGAGTTATCACCTGGATAGGAAATGTGTGTCTCCCCCTTGAAGAAGTGTTAAGATCATTGTGAGACTACAGTGTGGCAGTGTTGTACTACTGTTGTGTGATTGTTGTGATGTCCTGTGTGACATTGTTGTATGGTAGTTATGTATGACATTGTTGTATGACAGTCCTGTGTGACATTGTTGTGTGTTAGTTCTGTATGACATTGTTGTTTGTTAGTTCTGTATGACATTGTTGTGTGATAGTTCTGTTTATTATACCTCTACTTTATTTACTCTATATAAAAGTAATTGGTTAAATCGAATATATCCCCACTTTTGCCTGACTGTGTTTTAGTCCTGTGTGTTAGTCTGGGAACTAAAACACACCTACACTCGGGTGTTTCCGCCGAGCCAATCAGGCGGGAGGCGGGCGGAGCTTGTTGCCGAACTCGGAACCGATGCACGAGGTGGGCGGAGCTTGCTACCGAACTCGGAAGCGACGCGCGAGGTGGGCGGGGCTTGCTACAGAACTCGGAAGCATGTTTGGCTCTACTGTGATCAAGGGTAGATAGGACGTGAAGCTATACAGCTTATGGTTTACAAATGATTTCTAGTTAAAACTATCTCTCCAGTGTGTATCGGTATAATAAAACGGTGAAAGTATGGGGTTGAGGGATATGGCAAGTTTCTGGTGTCCCTTGACCATGCCTATTTCCCGAGGCGACGCCTCGGGAAATAGACCTGGTCTCGGGAAACCAGAAACTTGCTATATCCCTCAACCCCATACTTTAACTGTATAATAACATTGTTGTGTGATAGTTCTGTATGACATTGTTGTGTTAGTTTTGTATGACATTGTTGTTTGATAGTTCTGTATGACATTGTTGTGTGTTAGTGCTGTATGACATTGTTGTGTGATAGTTCTGTATGACATTGTTGTAAGACAGTCCTGTTTAACTAGAAAATATCTGTAAACCATAAGCTGTATAGCTTGACAGCGTCATAATCAAACACCTTGCACGCCGCTTCCGGGTTTGGTAGCAAGCTCTGCCCATCTTGCGTGTCACACCGAGTTCGGTTACAAGTTCTGCCCACCTCTCGCCTAATTGGCTTGGCGGAAACACCCAAGTGTAGGTGTGTTTTAGTTCAGAAGGTGTGTTTTAGTTCCCTGCAGACTAACACACAGGACTAAAACACAGTCAGGCAAAAGTGGGGATATATATTCGATTTAACCAATTACTTTTATAGAGAGTAAATAAAGTAGAGGTTTATTAATTCTGTATGACATTGTTGTGTGACATTGTTGTATGACAGTCCTGTGTGGCATTGTTGTATGACAGTCCTGTGTGTCATTGTTGTATGACAGTCCTGTGTGACAGTCCTGCATGACAATCCTACATGACAGTCCTGCATGACATTGTTGTATGAGTTCTGTATGACATTGTTGTATGACAGTCCTGTATGACATAGTTGTATGACAGTCCTGTGTGACATTGTTGTATGACAGTCCTGTGTGACACTGTATATAAATGGTGGTACCTTAATCTCACACTGCATCTCCTCAAACCTCAGTGCCTGTACATCTCTGTTTACGATCGGCTTGTTCTTGATGTTCCGTGCCTGTAAGTAATAGATGAGAAATATTTAGCTTATTCTGCTGTAAGTATAGGACTAGATATAAGGTTACTCTGCTGTAAGTATAGAACTAGATATAAGTTTACTCTGCTGTAAATATAGGACTAGATATAAGTTTACTCTGCTGTAAGTATAGAACTAGATATAAGTTCACTCTGCTGTAAGTATAAGACTAGATATAAGCTTATTCTGCTGTAAGTATAGGCCTCGATATAAGGTTACTCTGCTGTAAGTGTAGGACTAGATATAAGTTCGCTCTGCTGTAAGTATAGGACCAGATATAAGGTTACTCTGCTTTAAGTATAAGACTAGATATAAGCTTATTCTGCGGTAAGTATAGGACTAGATATAAGCTTACTCTGCTGTAAGGATAGGCCTAGATATAAGGTAACGCTGCTGTAAGTATAGGACTCTGTAAGTATAAGACTAGATATAAGCTTCTTCTGCTGTAAGTATAGGACCAGATATAAGGTTACTCTGCTTTAAGTATAAGACTAGATATAAGCTTCTTCTGCTGTAAGTATAGGACTTGATATAAGTTCACTCTGCTGTGAGTATAGGACTAGATATAAGATCACTCTGCTGTAAGTATAAGACTAGATATAAGCTTACTCTTTGCCATAATATAGTCTGTAGTATAGGCCTAGATATAAGGTAACGCTGCTGTAAGTATAGGCCTCGATATAAGGTTACTCTGCTGTTAGTATAGGCCTAGATATAAGGTAACGCTGCTGTAAGTATAGGCCTCGATATAAGGTTACTCTGCTGTAATTATAGGACTAGATATAAGTTCGCTCTGCTGTAAGTATAGGACTAGTTATAAGTTCACTCTGCTGTAAGTATGGGCCTAGATGTAAGGTTACTCTGCTGTAAGTTTAGGCCTAGATATAAGCTTACTCTTTGCCATAATATAGTCTGTAGTATAGGCCTAGATATAAGTTTACTCTGCTGTAAGTATAGGTCTAGATATAAGGTTACTCTACTGTAAGTATAGGACTAGATCTAAGTTCACTCTGCTGTAAGTATGGGCCTAGATGTAAGGTTACTCTGCTGTAAGCATAGGACTAGATATAAGTTTTCTCTGCTGTAAGTATAGGACTTGATATAAGTTCACTCTGCTGTGAGTATAGGACTAGATATAAGGTGACTCTGCTGTAAGTATAGGCCTCGATATAAGGTTACTCTGCTGTAAGCATAGAACTAGATATAAGTTTACTCTACTGTAAGTATAGGACTAGATATAAGCTTACGCTGCTGTAAGTATAGGCCTCGATATAAGGTTACTCTGCTGTGAGTATAGGACTAGATATAAGGTCACTCTGCTGTAAGTATAAGACTAGATACAAGTTCACTCTGCTGTAAGTATGGGCCTAGATGTAAGGTTACTCTGCTGTAAGCATAGAACTAGATATAAGTTCACTCTGCTGTAAGTATGGGCCTAGATGTAAGGTTACTCTGCTGTAAGCATAGGACTAGATATAAGTTTTCTCTGCTGTAAGTATAGGACCAGATATAAGGTTACTCTGCTGTTAGTATAGGCCTAGATATAAGGTCACCCTGCTGTAAGTATAGAACTAGATATAAGTTTACTCTGCTGTAATTATAGAACTAGATATAAGTTTACTCTGCTGTAATTATAGAACTAGATATAAGTTTACTCTGGTGGAAGTATAGAACTAGATATAAGCTCACTCTGCTGTAAGTATAGGGTTAGATATAAGGTTACTCTGCTTTAAGTATAGGCCTAGATATAAGGTAACGCTGCTGTAAGTATAGGCCTCGATATAAGGTTACTCTGCTTTAAGTATAGGCCTAGATATAAGGTCACCCTGCTGTAAGTATAGAACTAGATATAAGGTTACTCTACTGTAAGTATAGGACTAGAGATAAGCTTACTCTGCTGTAAGGATAGGCCTAGATATAAGGTAACGCTGCTGTAAGTATAGGACTAGTTATAAGTTCACTCTGCTGTAAGTATGGGCCTAGATGTAAGGTTACTCTGCTGTAAGCATAGGCCTAGATATAAGTTTACTCTACTGTAAGTATAGGACTAGATCTAAGTTCACTCTGCTGTAAGGTCCTGTGTGACATTGTTGTATGACAGTCCTGTATGACATAGTTGTATGACAGTCCTGTGTGACACTGTATATAAATGGTGGTACCTTAATCTCACACTGCATCTCCTCAAACCTCAGTGCCTGTACATCTCTGTTTACGATCGGCTTGTTCTTGATGTTCCGTGCCTGTAAGTAATAGATGAGAAATATTTAGCCTATTCTGCTGTAAGTATAGGCCTCGATATAAGGTTACTCTGCTGTTAGTATAGGCCTAGATATAAGGTAACGCTGCTGTAAGTATAGGACTTGATATAAGTTCACTCTGCTGTGAGTATAGGACTAGATATAAGGTTTCTCTGCTGTAAGTATAGGACCAGATATAAGGTTACTCTGCCATCTCTGTTTACGATCGGCTTGTTCTTGATGTTCCGTGCCTGTAAGTAATAGATGAGAAATATTTAGCCTATTCTGCTGTAAGTATAGGCCTCGATATAAGGTTACTCTGCTTTAAGTATAGGACTAGATATTATATATTCGATTTAACCAATTACTTTTATAGAGAGTAAATAAAGTAGAGGTTTATTAATTCTGTATGACATTGTTGTGTGACATTGTTGTATGACAGGTCTGTGTGGCATTGTTGTATGACAGTCCTGTGTGACACTGTATATAAATGGTGGTACCTTAATCTCACACTGCATCTCCTCAAACCTCAGTGCCTGTACATCTCTGTTTACGATCGGCTTGTTCTTGATGTTCCGTGCCTGTAAGTAATAGATGAGATATATTTAGCTTATTCTGCTGTAAGTATAGGTCTAGATATAAGGTTACTCTACAGTAAGTATAGACCTAGATATAAGGTTACTCTACAGTAAGTATAGACCTAGATATAAGGTTACTCTGCTTTAAGCATAGGACTAGATATAAGTTTTCTCTGCTGTAAGTATAGGCCTAGATATAAGCTTACTCTTTGCCATATCAACCATACTCAGTCGTCTGTTGAATTGTTTACATTTTTTCTGAGTGTGAGGTAAGTGGCAAATCAACTTTCCTGTTTGCTTCACCCAGAAGATGTGATTTGTTAAAAGGAAAAAAACACTTCCATTTACCTCAAAAAAGGAAACTAAACATTTAAACTGTATTCTAACACGACACCCCTGGGACAAGATAATTTGGCCTGTTCACAGAGTTGTTCATATACAAATATTTTGATATATATTTTCTACAGAGAAGTACAAACAATTTGTTCATCAGTGTAGCAACTGTTTTTGTGTCATTAACAACGAAACATCATGAATTTAAGAGACACGACAGAACATTATACAGGTAGATATGATACTGATATAAAACTACCCCGAGTACTCATTATTGAAACTATATGCCGATATTCACTGTAAAAGGAACAATATCCTAATATCTATCATCGGCTTCACTTACCCTATTGGCATACTTGAGGGCATTTAGGGATTCATCAAAGTTGGCTGTAGCAGGACTGATACAACACACCATAAGGGTCTGTGCGTTACCCCCTAGGGAGTCCTGGAACATAAATCAACAAAAAAGGTCACTTCACCAAAAAAACCTTTAAGTGAAACATGTCCTAACTGCCACTTTTGTTAAATGAAATTGTCTTTGTCTAATTAAATAAGCAGTGCCTATATGTATCTCCGAAAATATTTTATCTTCCGTTTGTGCAGGTTTCTTTTCATTTTTGTAGAAAGATGATTAAGTGAGTTTGAGACCCGGCGCCGGCCCTACACCATTAATATTAGCATGATATATTGATAAAAGATTTTAACACTGAAATATATATAACGCAGAACTTCAGGTTCCCAACAGGTACCTTCTGCAAAAACTGCTCTGCGAGCTCAAATGTATCTATTTTTCACTATACCCTGGTAATTTGTTCCTAACCATAAAACATTTTCTAGACTATTGACTTCCTATCTATCACTGTTCCAGAAGAACCTCTTTGTGGCGCCATAGTTACACACACCTTGAGGAGCCTGGTGATCTTTGATTCTCGGTAGGGAATGTGGGTTGATTTCTTCTTAGGATCTCCCAAGGCACTTATCACATTGCCGAGGGCCAGAAGTCCTGAGTTGATGTGCACAGACTCTGCAGCAATAGATTTATAATAAATAATAATATGAAATGTACAATATTTATAAAGCATCCAATATAATTCATAAAATCATTCTATGATACATGAAAAGAACTCCACAGAAGTGCATGCAGCCAGGATGTGTCGCCTGCCCCTACTGGGGGTCAGGTCGTTTTTCTGATTTTGGTCAAAATTAAACTTGAGTGGGTAAGAACTGTACCTTTGAATCTGTCCCCTACATTTCCGGTCCTGTGTGCTCGTTCAGATCCCGCAAGATCCACAAAATGGAATTTTCCTGACATGAAGTGAGTAATATCTGAAAAGATTGAAAGAATTTCTTTTAATTTTCTTTCCATATTAATCCACCACTGATGTCCTTATTGTTAGAATCTGTTTCTTGGACAGTAGTCACTGATTTTAGAATCTGTTTCTTGGACAGTAGTCACTTATTTTAGAATCTGTTTCTTGGACAGTAGGCACTGATTTTAGAATCTGTTTCTTGGCCAGTAGTCACTGATTTTAGAATCTGTTTCTTGGACAGTAGTCACTAATTTTAGAATATGTTTCTAGCACAGAGGTTCCTACTGCATCCTCGATACCCAGGGGATACACTCACTTTCGCTCTCTACACCCATGGAATATGTCATAGCAAAATTGAAGGCACGCGGCTAGCTATTTGATTGGTGTCAGGTAAAATAATCCTGACCAATCACTAGGCTGATGCTTAATCTTGTTGGAGATTCAGAGGAGCGACGACAGACTTCAAAGCCAGAACGTTTTACCCTTAGATTACTGCAGGATTCCTTTGATGTACATGAAAGGATCAAACTAGTCATCACTTCTCATGCACATGGCGGTTCACAAAGAGCCTTCAATTTTGGTATGACATATATCAGGGGTGCAGAGAGCGAAAGTGAGCATAACCCCTGGATATCGAGGATGATCCTACGTAGAATATACTTCTACGACAGTACTTCCTTTTGTTAGAATACGTTTCTAAGAAAGCAGTTCCTCTAGTTAGAAAGTAGAAGAGTAGTTCACTGAATCTGTATGTATCCCGGTGTTGTTAAAGAGGTGCCACTGCCGTTCCCTCAATGTGTCACTCAATGTCACGGTGTTCATATTTATATCCATAGTCAATCAAACACATTGCTTAGATTTCATATCTCGATTGTCACTCTTTTAAATTCAAAGAAAAAACAAGGACACAAGAAAATTGTTACCGGTATATTCCATCTTTACGTATTGCAGAGTTATCTTCTCTTGTGAGCAGGTATTGATTGTTCCGTCATTGGTTTGTGTAAGAAAATTAGGTTGCTTTCTCAAAAATGTTCAAAAAACGTTAGTCTCACAAACAAATGACGTAACAATCGTTACCTGCTCAAAAGAGCAGATAACTCTGCAATACGAAATGACGGAATTGAAATGACCAAATGTGTGCTCTCAAAATGTTAATTTATTTCAGTTAGTTCAAAGTCAAAGGGTAAAAAAATAATTTTACTTGTGCAGAATAGGATCAGTTTAAGGTTACAAACTCAGTGTATTCTTATATGAACAAAAGTGAATGGTAAACAACAACGATAAACGTGTGTGTCCTATATTATGTTAATGGGGTTGTCTGGCTTTTGAAGTCGCTGTAATAAAGCTGTAGTATCTTTATGTACATGTCACCAAATAGAACGTTCACAGAGTATGATTCTAAAATCAGGGTCACATGACTGAATTTTCTGTGTTTATCTATCAACAAAAATTAGTAAAAGAAAAGAAAATATGTAAAAGCAGTATTTATCGAAACTAAAGACAGTACATGTACCTAATCTAACACTGATGTTAACAACAAAATTCTACAAAAATCTAGTTGTTAATGACTTAACATCTACAGGTTGCCGACATATTCTCCCCAACAACCCGTTCTGGTCACTGGATCTATATTGTGTACATTTTCCCCCGAACATAACGTACAGAGGCTGTTTGTTTCTGTAACCACAATTACCTCATGATTAAGACATACACAAATGTATGTGCTATATATTGTGAGGACAGGACCCGGTGAAATTAAATCAACAACTAGTATAAAAATCATCAACAACTGTAGATACATTTGAATCTAAAATACAGCATACCATTTTACACGTACATTGAACAATCAACTACTCAACCCTTTCACCCCTAGGTAACTTAAGTAGACTCTACCATACATTTATCTGGATGAGTCCATTCTGGTCTACAGTGGTGAAAGGGTTAATACAGTGTACAGAGAAAAAAAATGGTCCAGACAAATCATTTTCTGAGGCAGTAATAATGCTGAAAGCACAGATTATATCTAATAATCTTTATTTCAAACACAAAAAGAGTTAAAGGGTAACAGATTTTATTCTCTGTTTTATTTAAGCCAGTATTGAAGTACATGTACTTGAATCAGTATCAGTGTTCTGAAAAAATATTGTGTGGTGATCGGGAAGCAATGGTCAGTTTAATTTTTGTCAGACCTCTGACCCTGATTGACTTGTTTCAGACTATGGACCCAGAGTCTACATATGTCATACCTAAAGGCTGATAATATAGTAAGGTAGACCTCAGACCAATATAAAAACGGTTTGTGTCAGACCTCAAGACTCATATTAAAAGTGGCGCCAGGCAGCGTAGGGTGGTGTGGAGTTGGTGTATGAGTTTCCGGGGAGTAGATAAAGACAAAAACGGTGAAGAGGAGACAAAGTATCAGATAAGTAGACAGTGTATGGCAAGAAAAGGTTTGGGTTAAAATGAAATAGGTAAGTCTTAATATACTATCATAAAATACCAGTCCTGTATTTTACACTCATTTGTTTATACTATGGACAGTTTCAACTGTTCTTTATTTCTATGTTTTTCTTTATTTATCAAAAAAGAATTCTCATGAAAGATTTTGACATTAACATTGCCCCTATCTTTATGTTTAGAAGCCTACATCTCTAAAATTGTCAGAAATACAGTAGACTTAAACTAAAACAAACATGCTAACAGGAGACTTCATGTCCAGAATCACTTGGGTACAGATGAACCATCAGAATGATTGGTACAGATGAACCATCAGAATGATTGGTACAGATGAACCATCAGAATGATTGGTACAGATGAACCATCAGATTGATTGGTACAGATGAACCATCAGAATGATTGGTACAGATGAACCATCAGTACAGATGAACCATCAGAATGATTGGTACAGATGAACCATCCGAATGATTGGTACAGATGAACCATCAGAATGATGTTCAATATTGCAAATAGCTTGTTTTTGTAAAGTTTTGTAGCCCATTGACAATTCAAGCCATTTAAGGACTTTGCCAATGTGATGCAGAACACCTAATACAAGAGGAGGACCTGGTTTTAGCCACCTATCGAAAATTTGCTAACACGCTGTTAATCTTTCAAGCGAGAAATAATCTAAAGAAACAACATTAGCATTAATTATGCAACATACTTATTATACCAAAGTGCAACACAAATCAAAATGGAGGCAACTAATACACAAACCTTGTGGTAGTTTGGCAGCTGAAATACAGACGGCCATGCAATCCAAGTTAAAGGAATAAACATTAACAAAACTGAGTTTCCTATTATACATGCAATAATCTTAATTAATTTTATTTTCCTTTGCTCTTATCCAACAAATAACAATAACTTAGTCAAAATCAGCTTATTTACCTTAAAAATGAATATAAACATTTCATAAATTAAGTGTTCAATCACAAAATCAAGGAAACTGATTTTTGTTTTATATTGAATACTGTAAGCATTCATTGATTACCACACAGACATCTACTCATCAGCAACAATTTTCTAATTAAACACATTATGGTATAGCACTATAGCTTTCTAGTAGAAAGGATAGGTGATTTCATATTTGAAATTAATTTAGCACTTTCAAATTAGCACAAAAACTGCTTAAATATGATTACTGCTGACAAGGATTGTCATGAATTCCTCAATTGTAGCAAATTAAATAAATATATGTCTCAGTTCATTTGGAAAAATGTTCCCTAGTAAACATCTAAAATTGAAGTAATTTATATAACAACAAACAGAACTGGAACATAATCAGATTACTACGTACAATGTACCACTTACCTTCGTCAATAACCTCAGAACTATCACTTGGTTTTCTCTTTCCAGCCATGACGTCAGTCTCTGTCCACTTTTGTTCTGTTCATAAAGCAATAAGAACAACATGTTCACTAGTGACCATCAATGTACGGAGAGACACGAATCCAAAACCATACTACGGACAGCTTTCATACTGGTAATTTTTATGCAAAGTTGACTTGAAAAAAAGTTCTTTAAATTACAAGATTGGACCTTTTCAGCTAAAACAAATTTACTCAAGTATATCAGGTAAATATAATAACAGTTGATCTTCATTCGTACATTTACAACTCACGACTGGACTGATGAAACTAACTAGAAATCAGGTAGCAATTTGTGCCTACAATGTATTATTTTGCTTTACCATATGAATACTGTGTTATGCAGTGTCAACAAGCCATCCCATAAGTTATGTTTATGTAACATGTGTAATATCACTCCGGAAATGACGTCACAATCAAATAGGAACAATCAATGTGACATCACATCATTGTGAAGTGGATGCAATTTTCATCGTTTTAGAGGCTGTCTAATGCAAAATATTTGTTTCTGTTCACAATTATACAGTTTACTTTGTATTTAATGATAAAAAGAATCTGTCATTCGTTTCCCTTCATATTAGATTTATGATACTCGTTTTGGATTTTTCATATTTGATCACCAGAGGCTCACAGTCATGAAAAATCTAAAACTTTATCATAAATCTAATATAAAGGGAAACGAATGACAGATCCTTTATGTATGCAGCTGTAAAGAGTGTATCATATGACTTTGACATGTACCTATAACAACGGTAAATATGGAATGTGAGCGACTTGACTGTTCATTCATCTGTGTCGACCCTGTCTGTCTGACAGCAGACCCTGCCTCCAGTAACGTCATCACATCATCCAGGGACTCGCAGTCCACTTCACGGGCTCCAATAATCACTGCAATTATATATAACTTTGTTGATTAAATTTAACAGTTACCATAATAACTATTGTGTTTTAAGATTCAACTCCAACATAACTGTTTGGTTGCTTAAGTGAGAAGACTTGAGGAGTTATCAACAGTTAAAATTTCACAACAATACACAAAAATGTATAAGAGTTTACAATTGTTTGGTTATAAATCACCTTATTTGAAAAATCTTGAAGTTAAAAGTTGACTTCAAGGACAACATTCACTGATAATAAGACTGATTCTCTGCGCTTTGAGAAACTTATCATTGTATCATGTAGGATGGTTACCTGTGTTGCCTTTGTCATCCTCACGGACATGGAGATCCTTGTAGGATGTTTCTGTGTCTAGCAGATCCTGCAGCTCCTCCTTGTAAATCTCTATATAGGAAACCTTCACTAGGAACTCTTGCTCTTTCCTCGTCTGATACAAGAAAGATGTTTGATTTATGAGGAATATTTTGGAAATCAATACAGGTGTGTCTTTGTATACTTAACTATCTTCTGCCTACATTGAACTAAATGAAAGTAGACTTAGTTATTGTCACTGAAATGGTTTTCTTGATTGCCATATGGGGAACATTTTGTAGTGTTAATAAGCTTGTCACCTGTTTCCTTTCAAGGAAGAAAATGAACAGGAGTACCAGAAATCAGTACATCAATCTGATATATGCTTGCTAATCATAAATGATTTGGGAGTCAGATTTGTACAAGAAGTAGAACACAAACCAATCAGGAAGGGCCCAGCCAGGAACCAAGCATCACAGACAAATACATCCATCTTATCAGGGTAAGATAATATGGTACTTCAATTAATCAAAAAGAATTTACCTCTATAGTGTCGAAAATTACCTCTACAGTGTCAAATATTACCTCTATAGTATCAAATAGTACCTCTATAGTGTCAAATAGTACCTCTATGGTGTCAAATAGTACCTCTATGGTGTCAAATAGTACCTCTATAGTATCAAATAGTACCACTATAGTGTCAAATATTACCTCTATAGTGTCAAATATCACCTATATAGTGTCAACTATCTCCTCTATAGTGTCAAATATCACCTCTATAGTGTCAAATATTACCTCCAGTGTCAAATATTGCCTCGATAGTGTCAAATAGTACCACTATAGTATCAAATAGTACCTCTATAGTATCAAATATCACCTATATAGTGTCAAATATTACCTCTATAGTGTCAAATATCACCTATATAGTGTCAACAATCTCCTCTATAATGTCAAATATCACCTCTATAGTGTCAAATATTACCTCTATAGTGTCAAATAGTACCTCTATAGTATCAAATAGTACCTCTATAGTATCAAAGAGTACCTCTATAGTGTCAAATAGTACCTCTATAGTGTCAAATATCACCTATATAGTGTCAACTATCTCCTCTATAGTGTCAAATATCACCTCTATAGTGTCAAAAATTACCTCCAGTGTCAAATATTACCTCTATAGTGTCAAATAGTACCTCTATAGTATCAAATAGTACCTCTATAGTATCAAATAGTACCTCTATAGTGTCAAATAGAACATCTATGGTGTCAAATAGTACCTCTATAGTATCAAATATTACCTCTATAGTGTCAAATAGTACCTCATAGTACCTCTATATTGTCAAATATCACCTCTATAGTATCAAATAGTACCTCCATAGTATCAAATAGTACCTCTATAGTGTCAAATAGTACCTCATAGTACCAACTATCTCCTCTATAGTGTCAAATATCACCTCTATAGTGTCAAATAGTACCTCTATAGTATCAAATATTACCGCTATAGTGTCAAATAGTACCTCATAGTACCTCTACAGTGTCAAATATCACCTCTATAGTATCAAATAGTACCTCCATAGTATCAAATAGTACCTCTATAGTGTCAAATAGAACATCTATGGTGACAAATAGAACCTCTATAGTATCAAATATTACCTCTATAGTGTCAAATATCACCTATATAGTGTCAACTATCTCCTCTATAGTGTCAAATATTACCTCCAGTGTCAAATATTACCACTATGGTGTCAAATAGTACCTCTATAGTATCAAATAGTACCTCTATATTGTCAAATAGTACCTCATAGTACCTCTATAGTGTCAAATATAACCTCTATAGTGACAAATATTACCTCTATAGTGTCAAATAGTACCTCATAGTACCTCTAAAGTGTCAAATATCACCTCTATAGTATCAAATAGTACCTCCATAGTATCAAATAGTACCTCTATAGTGTCAAATATCACCTAAATAGTGTCAAATATTACCTCCAGTGTCAAATATTACCTCTATGGTGTCAAATAGTGCCTCTATAGTATCAAATAGTACCTCTATAGTATCAAATAGTACCTCCATAGTATCAAATAGTACCTCTATAGTGTCAAATATCACCTAAATAGTGTCAAATATTACCTCCAGTGTCAAATATTACCTCTATGGTGTCAAATAGTGCCTCTATAGTATCAAATAGTACCTCTATAGTATCAAATAGTACCTCCATAGTGTCAAATAGTACCTCATAGTACCTCTATAGTGTCAAATATAACCTCTATAGTGACAAATATTACCTCTATAGTGTCAAATAGTACCTCATAGTACCTCTATATTGTCAAATATCACCTCTATAGTATCAAATAGTACCTCCATAGTATCAAATAGTACCTCTATAGTGTCAAATATCACCTATATAGTGTCAAATATTACCTCCAGTGTCAAATATTACCACTATGGTGTCAAATAGTACCTCTATAGTATCAAATAGTACCTCCATAGTGTCAAATAGTACCTCATAGTACCTCTATATTGTCAAATATCACCTCTATAGTGTCAAATATTACCTCGATAGTGTCAAATATTAGCTCTATAGTGTCAACTATCACCTATATAGTGTCAACTATCGCCTCTATGGTGTCAAATATCACCTATATAGTGTCAACTATCTCCTCTATAGTGTCATCTATAGTGTCAAATATTACCTCCAGTGTCAAATATTACCTCTATGGTGTCAAATAGTGCCTCTATAGTATCAAATAGTACCTCTATAGTATCAAATAGTAGCTCTATAGTGTCAAATAGAACATCTATGGTGTTAAATAGTACCTCTATAGTATCAAATATTACCGCTATAGTGTCAAATAGTACCTCATAGTACCTCCATAGTGTCAAATATCACCTCTATAGTATCAAATAGTACCTCTATATTATCAAATAGTACCTCTATAGTGTCAAATAGAACATCTATGGTGTTAAATAGTACCTCTATAGTATCAAATATTACCGCTATAGTGTCAAATAGTACCTCATAGTACCTCCATAGTGTCAAATATCACCTCTATAGTATCAAATATTACCTCTATAGTGTCAAATAGTACCTCTATGGTGTCAAATAGTACCTCTATAGTATCAAATATTACCGCTATAGTGTCAAATAGTACCTCATAGTACCTCTACAGTGTCAAATATCACCTCTATAGTATCAAATATTACCTCTATAGTGTCAAATATTGCCTCTATAGTGTCAAATAGTACCTCTATAGTATCAAATATTACCGCTATAGTGTCAAATAGTACCTCATAGTACCTCTATATTGTCAAATATCACCTCTATAGTATCAAATAGTACCTCCATAGTGTCAAATAGTACCTCATAGTACCTCTATAGTGTCAAATATAACCTCTATAGTGACAAATATTACCTCTATAGTGTCAAATAGTACCTCATAGTACCTCTATATTGTCAAATATCACCTCTATAGTGTCAAATATTACCTCTATAGTGTCAAATAGTTCCTCATAGTACCTCTATAGTGTCAAATATTACCTCTATAGTGTCAAATATTTCCTTAAGAGCTCGAGGTATTATCCCATATTCTTCTTCACATGAAATATTTCCCCCTCCAACAGTGAACGTCTTCCCTGATCCCTGAAATCAGAGAAAAAAATGGAAAACTGAAGAAAAAAACATCCAAGACATGACTACACATTTTAGCTCTATCATACATGGAATACTGGGTAGGTGTATGGATCCGAAAAAAATTATGGGAATACACATACAGAAATGCTTGAAAAGCAAGATTAATATTTCTTGCTTTTGTGATAATTTTAAAAACTGCTATTAAAAAATTTGTTACATAATTACATTTTCATCATACTATATGAAAGGTTATTTGTCATCATATATAAACCAGTATTTATACGAATATCTTACCGTCTGACCGTACGCAAATACTGTGGCGTTGTAGCCATCAAAGGTACTCTTAACCAGCGACTCCACACAAGACTTGTAAACTTCCTCCTGTACAGATAAAAACAGACCAAACTGTAAAACTAAATTGGGCAACAGAAAAACCTGAAGGACCTACAGGTTTCCATTAGGACCTTCAGGTATCCACTAGAAAGATTTTCATAAAAACATAAATTTTGTGAGGTTGAAAAGATGCTGACTCCTTCATCCCAGTTCTCTGAAGAATACATGAACACTGTTAGGGTTATGAATTATGTGGGGATCCCTATACTGCAGTCTGTAGTCATACAGCTCTTAAAACAAATATGATCAACTTATGACAACAAGTTTAACACAAACCTGATCAGTCTTGGAGGACAACACATAATCAAAGGTGAAGGCCCGATCCTTGCCAACAACCACCTGCTTTGTATTAGGTAAGACTCTCAAACACATTTCCTCTCCAGCTATCTTTTCCTTTGGCAGCAGAGGGCGTACCTGAAAGTTTATTCACATGTTTTACAGCAAAGGCATCATGATCATATCAATGAATTAGTAATGATTTTATCAAGCACTAACTTTACAAAACTACACAATCAGCAACTGGTTTCATAGATTTTTTCTCCTATTTTAATTCGGTTTACATTATAGTCCATTAGAAATAGTCAACTATATGATGAGTTGATACCAGAAATAGTGACATTAGTATTAACAAATGATCAAGATTTTTTGTCATTACATTTATGTGTGCATGAAAAGACAGAGTTGATTTGGAGGTTAAAAAAGATCTCAACTGAGCTTTCTCTGTAGCTGCCCACTATAATCTTACAGCAACCACACTACTGTCTACATTAATAAATACTTGTTAACGAAGAGGACTGTCAAAACAGGATACATCTACAAGCATGCTTAAAGTATGCTATATAACCAATGGAAAACTAGCTGGAGAGCCAAGATACAAACACTGTTATACTTTAAATATCTAAATAACTGGAGATAATTACTTACCCTCACTGCTACTCGTACGTTGACTTCTGTCATTGTGGTGGAGTGTTGGTATAAAATCTCTAATTCCACCTTACCAGACAAATACTAGTAACATAGTAGGACTCTGGTTCCTATTTTAGTCAATTTCTCTTTATTTGAGTCTTGAATCCAAAGGTGTAGCACAGTACTGGAATGATAATTAAAGTGTAACGAACATTACAATGAGCAGGAGATCTATTTGATCATGTTTTTGTTACAGTAATCATTGTTTCTTGTGTACTACCTTATGGTTTGTAACCATTTTTTGTGTAATGTAGCCAATGGCTCTTAAAAGGTTCCAATATTTAAATTGGATTTGAAGCATGAACTTGTCCATTTAATATTAAATCTATATATAGAAATTGCAGCTGGAATCACTTAGAAACCTTGGATATGTATACTTTCTTTTTCTGTGATGATTATTACTGTTTTATTATTAATATATGTGAGTATCTCCCTTTACTTGTAATATAATATGTTATTGTTATTTTTACATATGTTTGTCGCAATAATAGCTCTCAAGAGCTAATGTTCCTTGTTTATCTGTATGCGACGTTAGATAAAGTTTCTTGTATCTTGTCTTGTNATAGCTCTCAAGAGCTAATGTTCCTTGTTTACCTGTATGCAACGTTGAATAAAATTTCTTGTATCTTGTTGGAACATATACATTTAGAATTACTACAAAAAACTCATTATTATGAATGAGCACTGAATATACTTTTTTCCCAGATAATGTGCAGCACATTTGGAACCATACACAGAGCTGAAATAAGACTTTGTTATATCGACTACAGTGTCCCCCCCCCCCCCCCCCCCCCCCCAATTTAAAACAAAAAACACATACACAAAAACAACTACTTAAGTCTATGTCCGACAAAAACTTTGGTACAAACATCCATAATTAGGATCACTTAATGATAAATTGATAGATAGTTTTGATAACAGATACAAACACAGCTTCAGTTGCTTATGTTGGAGAAATCTGCTTGCTGATAGATGTGTAAAAGACGCTCATTGATTAGGTTACCTTACATGCGTCAGCTGTAGGGCATTTCCCTTTAGCTCAGCGGTAGAGCATCAGACTGGAGAGCCAAGGGTCACAGGTTCAAGCCCCAGCAATGGCACTATCTTATCACTATTCCTTGTCCTACTATAGCAGCAGCACAATACTCAAGGACTTTAAGGCACACATACCCTATGCAGCCCTTGAAGCCCTTATCACATGCTAGTACATACACCAGCTTTTACCTTTCGGTCGTATACCATAGGAGCCTGAAGTTCTGGCAATAATTAATAATAACAGTAATACAACAAAAAAATACCTATAATATGCTTAAAAAATAGAAGCATATTATAGTGGGTTTTTTTGTATTACTATTATTATTAATTATTGACAGAACTTGTGTTACTTCAGGCTCCTGTGTTTATACCCTGCACACAAAAAAATCACAGTAAATAATCCCCTTTTCCACGCCTCTTCACAGGTTACCAAAGACATAAACATCACTATTGATGGAGCCCTTGTACATTTAAGAAGAAGCAGTGATCTGAAGTTGAGTGCTTATCATTTTTGTATCCCAGGCATGGGCTTAACAAAACATATCCTATGTATGAAGCATGCATATGTTTTAAAAGTTGTTCATGGGTTCAGACAGTTAATGGAACAATGGTCTGTGTTTCTAACTGCTCTTTACTACTTCAATATTGCTAACTCAGCTAAGATCGTAAAACCACAGGTGTTCAAAATTCTTACTGTAAATTGAGATAAAAATCATCTAAATAAATAAGGGTATTACTATAAAAAAGTAGTAATACCCTTCATTTTTATATGATTTTTATCTAATTTAAAGTCAGAATTTCAAACACCTGTGGTAAAACACTTGACCCAGGCTGACCTAGGATATTCTAGGTGCACAAGCCATTACATTACACGGTCGACAATTACTTGAATACCAAGTGATACAGTAAACAGTTTTGGATATAAAACATAACACTATGAATCATTTGCATTGTGCAATATACCTTCATAAATATTGTATTACCTGTACAAAGACCCTCCCAATTTTAGACCCAAACGGTAGCTCTGTACCGTAAAACTGTTAGTTCTCAACGATTCACCTCTATAGAAATATACTGCTTCCAATCAGCTTGAGTAACACATCAATATATAGGATAACATACATTACATGCGCTTTATGATGATGACACGATTATATGATAATCTTTTCTACTGGAAAACATTCTCTTTCGGTAGCTCCTCAGCAGGGAAACCGATGTAAACAACACTGCAACATTTTTGTAAGAGGAGCATTCCCCGCATGCGCAGCGTAGATTTTCCGTTTAGTAAAAATACGAAACTAACTACAGGCGTTTATAAAATACCGTAAACCATTTATATTTATAAAGGCATCTATTGTATATCGAATAATAAATACGATGTACAAATGACAATTCAAATAATATGTTAAATCTATGTCAAACCATTTTTTCGGATTATAAACGCAAATTTGATACACGCCTTTAAAACCATAAATAAAGATAACCAATGTCTTCAAATAGGTTCAAGGAAAGAACCAATCAGATAACTGCAGAGTAATTACCCCTCTTTATGTACGAAAGTTTGTTTACGATAATAATATAACCACGGAATTAGATTATCCACGGACTTAGATAATCTAATTCCGTGGATTATCTAAGTCCGTGCGATAACTTAGTAAGTTACAACTTAATCATTTTATCGTTTTCTTCAACTTTCTTATATATATATATATATGTGTGTGTGTGAAATTACGTGTGTGAAGACTCCGCATTAAAACATTATAGTAACTTAGGTGGTAGTCGGTTTATACCTTATCTAGGTACTTTGACTAGTAATGTTAGCTGAGGTTTAATATAATTAAGGGAATAAAAAAGCACTGAATAGGAGTGGCCTACGTGTAAAAACCCAAGGAGATATAGCTGCTTTGATAGATAGTGGTGGGAGTTTTACTGTATAGTATAAAGGACTGGGGTATCGATCCGGCAGAGCACGCTTGAGCCAATGATTGATAGAAGCACACACATACCACTCAGTTGTCGCCAACCTTCCATCACTACATGTATATTGTCCTTGAACATAAAGCAGTGTTAGTTTAACAGTACGCTTCTGCTATTATGGAGCGCAAAACACAGATTTCTAGCTGGGAGGTATTATCATCTGTAGTAGAGGTCGACAGTCACCCAGTATAGTTGCCGACATGACTTCGTCACAGCGGTCCAATATAATTTTGTTGATTTGTGCTATGTAGGGGAGTCTGGTGCATTCCAGGGACACACAGCGTAATTTAAAATGTTCAATATCCTCGTTCCAATCCTTACAAATTAAGCAGGTTAATTGGTCTGATTATTATTTCTTTATTTCCTCTAAATTGAAGAGTTACAAAAATGTACAGTGTAGCCAAAATACAAATCAAATATTATTGATTGATACTTAAATGCACATAAAAACATCANAAATCTGAATCGTTGTTCATTCTATCGTACATCATTAATTCTTCCCAATTATAAACTGCTTTATAGGAAATTGACTTCCATGATGAACTACTTGGAAAAACTGTATCTGATATATACTGCAACAGATAATTAAACAAATCATACTTGCGAAGTATTCTCACAATATCAGGAATAAAACCAGTTTGACAGGACTCCTTCAAAATATGCATGAATAGGCGTTTGAGAAATATAGTATGAGTTAAGTATTTACTGTCCAGTCTACAAAGACGACCGAGAAACAAATGTTTTCTTATATCAATGTAACCTTCTATGGAGGTCCATCCAATTAAGGAGTTGACCATATCAGTTCTAGTTCTAACGTTTAACCCTTGAATGGATTTTACGATAAAATTTTGAGCGCGCTCTAATTTGATTAATTCAGTTCTAGACAGTTGCCATAGTTCACACCCGTACAGGGCAGACGGGAAAACTTTAGCCTTAATCACCTTTGCAACTGTTAAAGGATTGATAGTCCTAAGATGAGCACCAGATCGAATAAGAGCCATGGTTCCACTTTTTAGTTTTTTGCATGCAGACTCAGTTCTGTCCGATGTACATAATTCAAAATTCAAAACAACACCGCCGTGCGTAATGTTTTCAACAACTGGTAATGCTTTACCATATAAATTCACATCTTTTTCCAAGACTTGTCTTCTGCCTTTTGTAAAAACAACAATTTTACTTTTATCAACAGAGAATGAAAATCCCTATTTACGACTATAGTTTTCGCAAATTGTAACCATATCTTGTAAATCAATACTTGTGTTACTGATCAAACATATGTCATTTGCTTGTGTGGGGATATTAACCCTAGTATCAATACACAACTATGTTGATGGGGGATTGAAAATGGTTAATTTAGAGGCTTTTATTACTTTTCTGAAACTGAGTTGGGTCAAAAGACTTTTCCTTAGTGAAGGTAAATGGCAGCATATTATTAAGTCTATTGTGGATATTAACCTACTTGCTCATGTTATAATAGATGCAATAACCAGTTCTGGAAATATATTCTGAAGGCATGGGAAAGACTAAGAAAGGCTGAGAAGGAAAACCCATATAGAAAAGGGAAAGAGGTCATGAAAACTCCAATATGGTTTAATAGACAAATATGTGTTGGTAGAAGGTCAGTATTTCACAGAGAATGGTATAACTAATCAGTGATTTATTCAAGAAGGATAACTCTTTCCTCAATTTTCCGGATTTTATAGATTTATTCCAAATAAACACAGATTTTCTAACTTTCCATGGTGTTATGGCTACAGTAAGACAGTTGTTAGCAGGTAATGAGATGCCATTTTTAAAAATTTCTTTTCCATATATTCCAGTTAATCTGGAAAGTTTAATTTTCTCTGCTAAAGGCTCAAAACATTTTTACAACACACTGGTAAATAGAAAAATAATTCCGACTGGGCAGGTTGAATGGAATGCTGAACTTGACATCAATGACCAAAACTGGAAACGAATACATCTAATCCCTTTCAAAGTTACTTCTAATACAAAGCTACAATGGCTTCAGTTTCGAATTTCGCATCATATACTGACAACAAATTCTTTTTTTTTTTAAAGTAGGTATCTCAGATAATCCTCTATGTACTTTTTGTAATCAAGTTGAAGAAACTATAGTGCACTTATTATGGGAATGCCAAGAAGTTCAGTCTTTTTTGCAAAGTTTTGAATCTATCCTAGATGCATTGCTAATTCCTTTCCAATACAATAAAATCACTTTCATATTAGGATTGTTTACACAAACAGAACGGTTTAATAAGAGCGATAACGAAATACTTTTAATAATTAAGCAATACATTTACAGTTCTAGATGTAACAATAGAATGTTGAATAACAACTCTTTAATTCTTAAAATCAAGGACCATTACACTGTACAAAGTTATATTGCAACTGCTAAAGGTGAATGCTATATGCAGAAATTTACTGCATACTGGGAAAAATGGATGCGGCTAATAGAGCTTGTGGACTAATTTTTTTTGAATATATGTTAATTATGAATTAATTCTATTGAAACTGCCCTGTACTCTGGCAATATATTTTGCTGGTTCTGGTAATATATTTTTAAGTACTATATGAGTATAGTTTGACATCCCTGTCTCTGGTATCTATCCCTAGAATTCATCAATATGATATTTTTTGCAACAAAATATCTATGCCTATTCATTCCTTTTCTTTTTCCTCTCTTCTTTTTTATTTCTCTTTCCTTCCTTTTCGACAATATTATACACATATCAGATAAAGCAATTACAGGAGTTTTATCTTTTTGTAGATAGAGTGCATGTGAGTGTGTGTGAGTGAAAGCGTATAGGAGTGGGTTTATCTGTTCATGCTTTTTATTGAAGTGAAGTACATGATTTGGTTCTGAAATAAAATATAACATGATGTGGATTATGTTGTCTGTCATAAAAATGTGTATACATGTAATAATATATTAAAAAGAAAAAGTGTTATGCTGATCTTCCTCTTTATGAATGAGTTAATCATGATTGTTGAGTATGTTGATGTCAAATATTGAATGTACCAATTAAAAAAATGATGTTGCAGTTTGGTTCAGTGGCTGTCTGTTGAGGTGTGTTGCTGATGACACACATTGTATGGATGATGGCAATGACGTTGAGGATGATGATGATGGCTATGAGGAACGATAGTTTGAACGTTTAGTATCAGGATGCTGATGAGATAGTGATGCTGATGATGATGTTGATGATGATGATGATGATTGTGAGGATGATGATGATGATGGTGATGATGTTGATGATTCTGAGAATGAGGAAGATGATAATGGTGATGATGATGATGATGAATGTGAGGATGATGACGACAACATTCAGGATGATGTTGATGATGAGTGAATTAAGTGTCAAAATGTGTGTTAGAGAGTGTGAAAATGAAAATACCTGTTCTGTACCTATATTATGAAAAACTGTTGGAAAAATAAATTGATAAAAAAACAAAACAACAAAAAGCTCCTTTTCCTGACGATTCGACATCATTTAGTAAATCGTTAATAAAAACCAGGTACATTTTTGCAGATAATGACCCCCCTTGTAAGATCCCTCTCTTCATGAGGACAGGTGATGACTGGTGACCCTTAAAGGCGACATGACTTACAAAACCGTTATACATATTTTTTAATATAGTCAAAATGTTGCCCTTAAATCCTATTTTGTACAGTTTGAGAAGTAACCCTTCGTGCCAAACAGTATCAAAAGCTTTCTTGCTATTTAAAAATGCAACGAAAGAATCAGAGTCATTTTCTAGATTGTATCTCACACATTCCTGTAAATTAAAGGAAGTGCATAGACTACATAATTTTTTCATATAAGCCGATTGCTGTCTGTTTGGAAACGTTTCTGAATCTAGTAAAAAATCCATTCTGAGAGACAAAATTGACTCGAATATTTTTGAAAAAGACGGGTATAAGGGTGATACCACTATAGCTGTTTTGGTCATCTTTGGGTTTTCCATTGCCCTTGTACAAAGTAAAAGTTGTTCCTTTTTTCCAGTCGTCAGGTATATGCTCATATTTTACAATGAGGTTGAACAATTTGGTAATGAGGCTTAATAATCTATCACCTCCATACTTAATGTGTTCATAGACCAGGCTATCATACAGCGTGTTTTAAAATGTTCAATATCCTCGTTCCCATCCTTACAAATTAAGCAGGTTAATTGGTTTGATGTTTTTTTGATATTTTGCTCTGGTGTATTGGAGGGGATAAACTCCGACTGCAATTTTGGCTTTCGTGAGCGCTTTCCTAACTGTCAGTGTATCCAGTAGCGCCGATTCAAGGAT